GACATACACACACACACACCACTCATACTCCCTACAAACACTCACAGAAATAGAACTCAGGACTCTAGGAGGGGACCCCAATTTGGAACTCTGCCTAAGGACCTGGGAAACCTTAATTTAACTCAATATACTACAAATAGCTAACACACATACACTACGCCACTCACAGCTCTCATGCACCCACACACAACCCCACAAAGCTGCCACCCATAAATAACACAAGCAGACTCTCCCAACATACACAGTTAATTTTAAAAAGGGGCCTGCACTTCAAGAGACTTCAAAGTATTACTTTGCCCCAGGCTTACCAAAAGGCTGAATAACGTTGTTTTATATATACTATCTGGCAATCCTAAGGCTCTATATTAAAAAATCTGGTAACTTTAAAGCAGTTAGCTCACACAAATATTTCAACCATTTGTACATTAGTTACATGAACGGTCTTAAAATTCATAGCCTTGCCTTTTACGTTGGCCTTAAAATTCAGGAAATATTCTGGGGACATAACAAAATTAATGCTAATAAGATATGATGTGAACTTACCCCTTTCTTTCCTAAAATTTCCATTGTAGAATTGATCCCTCCAAATGGCATCGTCACTTACAACAATACTAGTTAAAAATACAAACAACAATAATGAATTGAAGTGATGAACTGTTTCCTGGGTTGCAAACATTTAGATAACAAGTAATTAAAACAGAAATCAGAACTGCCCTATATGTACAGATTAACATAAGCCAGGGATCATGCCGCACTTAATCTGTGCCCGTCATGCACGTTCTCCATGATGGCATTTTATAGTAGTCATACCTGGCAGCTCTAGAGGTAGGAATGCCAAGGAAGTGCATGGCCTCGCTGCACAGGAATTCTCGAATGGAAGAGCGAAGAACAGCGCGACCATCACCATTTCTGCAAACATAAAGTCAAAGCAAAGTAAAATAATATATCACGATATCCAAACACCTATATCCAGGGCCATATGTACCAAAATAAGTTCAATAGAGACTTAAATTAGAAAATAATTACATGTTTACAGATTTTATAAATGCAATATATTTTAGTAATATATGTTTTGTAGAGATGAGATACTTAGTTCTTCTGATAACAAGCACTGATATAAATCAACAAGTTACAAAAATAATCCAGAAAAGGGCCAAGTGGCCCTTTTGCTTTATGAGAAAGCAGCGATAATGGCAAAGAAATGTGTTAAAGACGTTCCTATGATCCCCAATTAATCAGAGGAAGAACAGAGAAATTGCCCTTTCTATTCTCCAAGAGTGTGAGATCATTTGAGCAGGACCCTCTTCACTTCTTCTATCTGTCAACAATATTATTTCTGTTAATTAGTCACTGTCATTTATCCCACTACATAATCGTAAAACCCTGCTGAATATATACCAGTATATAAATTATAATCTCTATCTGAGATGGGATGAAGTTTAATACCAAGTGTAAGAAGCCTCCCCACTCTGTGCCCAATCCATGCTGTGGAATGAGGGGGGTTTATATAATGAATGCACATTCCCCAGGCTAATTCCTAACAAATCCCTCAGTATGGGATGGTTAAGGAGTTAATAATGATTAGAGCATATCCCCACTCTACCCTAACAATCAGGAGCCCGGGCTCCAAGCCTATTCCCTTATTCATACAAAAAAATGAAGCAGCTAAAAGCTTGACAATATTTTATATGTATCAAAGGACATTTTATCCTTAATATTTAGTATCAGTAAAAGGGTGATTTTAGTGACAAGGCCTTGGGCACTTTCCATTAATAGAAACAATATGTTATCTTTGATGTGTGCAGTTACCTGGAATATGGGGTTTTACCCGATCCTTTAAGCTGTAGCTCCCACCGTTCCCCATACCTATTGAAAATAAAAATTGACATTAAACTGACATACAATATCTAAACTAGAGCTTATCTAGACATGATGAAATTATCACATAACAATTATCTCCTGGTCCTGTGTTGGTGGCTTGGTCTCCTGGTATTGAGTCAGGACGCTGATTGCACCTTATACAAGATGAAAGGAAGGACTCTAGGCGAATTGCTATCCCTTTCTGTGGTTGTATTACCCTAGTAGGGCTTTTTACCACACAAGGGAATAGCCACTTGATATTGTTTCACAATGGACCCATTGCTGCTTCCCCCTGGCTTTCAAAACAATGGATTCAATAAATGAATTTATTTAAAATATGCTGATGTTGGACACTGTGTGCATCCAACCATAGTCAATGCTTCCTCAAAGAGAAGAAACGGAGTAATGGATTGTGTCTATGGCAAAACAAAAGTAATCCTCGAGTCCTTGAAGACCTGCAACTCCTGCGATGCTTTGAGAGCCAAGCAGGAGGCTTGCACTGAGGTCTGTTGAATTGTGAGAATGAAGGAGAAGATGACAAACCCATGTAGAAATCTCCCAGCTTTGTAAATAATCTCTAAACAGAACTGGAGATATTATCTGAAAACTACAACTAGTCACTGCTTGATTCATGTCAACCATAATTCTTTTTATTTATTCTGTATATAGGATTTCAGTTTAAATGTCTTAAAAATACAGTGCAGATGTAATGGCTTCTCAGTGCCAAGAGAATCCAAAAAATACCATTGCTCTGGCCTTTTGGAATAACTGAATATGCAGGATCTGTTGGCAGCTCAGCTATAAAATGCACTTAGTTAATTAAGGTATAAGGATTGTATGAACAGCAGAAAATGTACCTGTTGATATAAGCACCAACTAAATGTGCTCGACCATCTCCCAACTGACCAGCCCAGACACTAAACTAAAGGAAAAAAGAGCAAAACATGTTTTTAATTTATGTACGGTGAAAACAGCAACCATAATGGACCAAAATCAAAATCCATTTCAAAGCTAAATGTGCTGTAATTTATTACATTGCATAAAAAGTTGACAATTTGAGGATTATGTTTAAAGATTAATTCTAAAGGAAAAAAATTCTAAAAGTGGTTCATTTAGCAGGAACATACAGTTGGTTACCAAGGTGACAATGGAGATGTTGCACACTTTGGTATTGTAGAGAGCCTTAGTTTAGCAGTAAGGGGACTCACAAAGTTTCATATTGTATCATACACTGTAGATTTGGTACCGTAAATACTCATCTAAAGTATAAAATACACATATTATAAGGCAATATGGTTTTCTAAGCCCCATACAGAGCAGCTTTCCCAGAGTTCCACAAAAAATATGTAAATTTGCACAAAACATATGGTCTATAATTAGCTTTCTATTAAAAATATCCATTTGTTTGCTTAGCATTAACCTGGAACTTTATATTGAGCTATTGCATGGTTTAGGATCCTGCTGGATCAATTCGATTCGACGTTCTGGAGATCATCAGTACAGCACTTGTCTGGACACGAATTTAAAATCTCTGATAACATCAAACTAAACATTTCTAAAACCGTGGCGACACAAGTTAATAATAGGACTTCATTTATACAGTCAGAAATTAGACATTCTTTAACATTCATATTTACCTGGTGACCTCCATATCGGTGAGCAAGTGGAATGAATACTGGGTCGGTTTTCCCACCACTTACAAAATGAAGAAAACCCTCTTCATTTACAACAGAGATGTCAAGATCCAGAACGTCTAGCACATCCTGTGAAATGGAAAGAAGAAACACAAAGGAGTACCGGTCATTGAAAACAAGACTCACTGTGATTAAAACAAGGTTGTCCGTCCTTCTATAACATACTCACACCAGACCAAGGGCAGGCAACTATCGGCACTCCAGATGTAGTGGACTATATCTCCCCTGATGCTTTGCCAGCATTATGGCTGTAAACGCATTATGGGAGAAGTTATGCCCCTGCGCTAGACTTAACTAATTTGCTTCTTAATGCTCTTACACGTGAATATGAAATTCCCTTTGAATTAGTGAATAATGCTGTATGTCTTTCATATCCTCTCTATATTTTACTAAAGTTTATTCTAATACTTTCACTTTCAAACTAAAATGCCACCATGCAAATGAGTCTGGTTTGTGTGTTTGTTTGGGCAGAACGCGCTCACGGAATTAAAATATGGGTTACAAGAAAGCGCTCACGGAAAAGCCTTCACTGAAAAATAAAGGGAGATGATGTGATCTCACTCAGGACATTTTTTACAGACGGATTTTGCCTTTCCCTGGTGGTTTCTAATTGTTCAGCCCACCTGGCTCAGGCAGTGCTGCCATTGTTCTCATACAAGAAATCAAGACGATTCTATAAACAATTAACAATCCAATGAATATAACATGGAAACAGCAAAAACCTGATATATGTCTTTATCTTACCCCAGAAACAGCTACCAAGTGGGTGTTCGTCATGAAGGGAGTTGGGTAGACAAGGGAGAAAATGCAATTCTTCACTTTTCTTACATAGTTTGTTCTAATGGGATCAACTGGCAAGTCAGCTATAAACAAGAGGATTTTTTTAAAACTAACTTTAGTGGCGATTTTAATAGAAATCTTTACATTTGATAGCACACTGTATAGATGAAATAAGAAGAGGAATTAATCAATGGTAAGTGTACCATGGCAAAACAGGTACCCTTTAAAAGTAACATTTACTTTGAATTCTCACCTTAGTAAATAATCCTGTATGTGTTTAACTGCAGCTTAGAAGTGACCATGCATTCACTATCTCTGTCTTTGAGTAACATACACACATACTCATACTTAGCATGAACAGGAACAGCTACATGCACGTGTAACAACACTGCACACCCATAGGAACACAGACGTACACTTATACTGACAATCTGAACACAAACGCGCACACACACAGAATCACGGGCATACACACGCACTTTGACATATATCTATAATTACTCCAATCATCCGTTCTAGCTTTCTGGCAAACAGGAAGATCCTGTAAGCTTTTCTACGCAGCGCAGTTGTGTGATATTTTTCTAGGTGTGTTTATATTGTAGTAATATACATTAATCATCTAATAGGTGACTTTTGCAAGTTGAAAAACAATAAAAGTCAGTATACCTAGTACATCATCTGAAGGCACACTCCATAAATCCATAGACGGAACTTTTGTTTTTCGTTCACAGAATCCACTGGTGTTTGATTTATGTAAAATGAAACGGCCGTATTTATCTGCGACAAATGGAGGACCCGACTTCCATCCAAGACAACAGCTGTAGATTGCTGCCAATAAACTTAAACTTGGCGGAACACGATTTAGTAACATGATGACAGGTTTCAATTTACTCAATGATTGTTCCATTAATCAAAATATTACGGGAGAAAAAACAAGCCATTAATCTTGGGTTCACAACAAAAAAAAAAAACTGTAGAAAGGACCGCATCACCTGAAACATTTTTCAATCTACAAGAAAGAATTTTTTTTTAATGTTAAGCATTATTAAATAGTACTATAAGATATAGAAGAATAACATCTGTATTATTACTGGTCAAAGTAAGCTGTCCACTCCACACAATGCAGAAGATTCTCTGAACTGCTAATTGTAGGGCAATAAAACAGAATGGAAAAACTGAGATTAAAATATCCAAGCTGTAACTATAGCTGAGTTAGGGACGATTTGTAAATCAGCTGTTTAGCCAAATTCAGCTTAATTTTCCTATGATTCAGAGTTTAGTGAATAAATTCCTATTGTAAATACTGAACACAGTAAATAATGGATTTCACCATACCATCACAGACCATGGTATACCTAAGGAATCTGTTTAATGCTTAAAGCAAAAAGTATGTGAGTCCCCAGCAATATAGGGTCTATTTAATAGTGAACTGAAAATGTGGCCCAAAAAAGCTGACCTGGAAAAAAAAAATTAAATTCTTAGTGAATTTGTTACAATTCAGGGTTCAGTGAACAACCCTGTAAAAAGAAAAAATATACATTAATATCAATAACAATATTGATTGATACTGTTGGTGAAGAGTAAGGATGTATTAAATTATTAGTGAATTGACATTGGTTAAAGGGTTACTCCAAAACTTTTAACTTTATAGGTTTTTCTTATTAAGCATGCCTTATTGGGCATTGCTATTTTACTCACATTATAGAGTCAAAATTAAATGGACCTGCCTTTTGAGTTTAGTTCAACTGAGCTAAAGAAACAGGAAGTAACAGGACCAGTTGTCTGATTGACAGCCATGAGGGGGTGTAACAAGATTAATTTCTAAAAGAACCAATTTCTATAGAAATCTGCACTTTGTAAAATGAAAGAAAAACAGGACATATTCTTCACATATGAAGCACTTCAGGAAATTGAAGTGCTTTAGGAGTCTGGACTGTCCATGTAAAGATTAAACTTCTGTGAAAGTCGCAGCCAGGCAAAGCTTATGGCACTGGTTTCCACGCTTCTGACGACATCAATGCTGCCAACTCTTGGTCCAATCAAATCAAAGAATAGCATCTGACTTAGAGTTCTACCGGTTTAGAGCGCTCGCGCACACTCTGAGCCAGGTAGGGGAGGGCGGTAATTTTATAAAATGAATTAATTTACTATGAATGCAAGGAGGTGAAGAGGGAGTACATGGAAGGTAGGGAAGATCGCGGCTTCACCTTCCACTCAGCGTTGCAAGAGGACAAGCTAATTAAGTGTATTGTCAGCACACTGTACATTTTGAAGACAGACATGATTTTTACACAGAACAAAGTGCCAGGGGTGCTAGTAGCCCTGGCATCAAAGTCCAGATATATGTATATATAAAGGGTTTCAAGCAGAAATGATGCATATACAGATGTCAATCACCATGACCACTTCTAAAAACAGAAGTGGTCATGGTGGTTGGAGTAAACCTTTTAGCATCAATTAACAAGGATGGTAGCGCCGGTTAGAAAGGAGGAAAGAGGACTGCCCAAAGAAGGGGGGTTTGAACGCAGGCCAGGCTGAATGACAGCCTGTCTGTCAAGTCCCACTCAGGGCAGACTAGGCACAAAGTGCGTAATTCCCTCCTAACGCCCTGTCAGCATTTTGTATAGCAAACAGTGTCTTTTGACGTGCCCAAACTCTGCTTATTGGGGACACTTTCTTGGTTCTCCAAAATGCAAAACACTAGGGACCTAGCCCAGAGCAGCGGGCACAGGAAAACGAATTCAGGGCAGTCCTACCAGATGCAGGATAATTAGGCGTTATAGACGGACCGCTGGATATATAGATATACAGATAGGTAAACACGGCTCCCTCCCTATCCCTTACAGTCCTTATACCTCTGATCAGGGTTATTCACTACAGCGAGAATTTAAACCAAATTTAAGACCAGAGTACCCAAACTAAAAGCATAGCGGACGCTGACGAAGAGATTTATTTTCCGGTATTTTGACCTTACATTTCAAATTCACTCTAAATTCTCACTTTACTGAACAGCCCTGTCTGGAGGCTCAGTGCCTTACAAGTCACAGAGTTTTGTTTTAGATATTTAACAATAGTATTATATAACCACAAATACTGATAATTCTGCAATCTATATTCTACAATATACAGCACAATCATACCAATGGCTGACAGGTCGCTAATTCCTTCCCATGCACAGTCTCTGTGTGTAAAGAAGACCCAACATGCTTTAATACATGTATTTAGGGCATGAGCCAGCTCAGCACTTGCCCACTTTGCCCACACTCAACATGGCCGACTTGGCTTCCGCCATCTGGCACTTCCGTTTCCGGTGCACCCTGGATCCTATTCCGGAGGCAGAGGGTGAAGCGGCTGCAGGAGAGCGGTTCCCGGGCGCCGAGCTGCGGTGGTGACTGGCGGAGAGTGATGGCACTGGGCTGGGGCTGGCTATGGCGGTGCTGTGCCCATCGGGCCGCCTGCCAGGCCTGGGGCTCCCAGCCGGCAGCATGGCACACAGGAGCCGCAGGGAAGGTGAGGGCATGGTGGGAAGGTCACAGGGTCACTGACTGAGCTCAGCATGTCTTTCATTCATTAACTCACTGGGATTTAAGGCCAGAGTAGCTGAGCTGGAAGCATAGGTGGCATTGGAGAATCTTTCCAGCTCAGCTATTTTGGCCTTAAATCTGAAATTCACTTTGCCCACACTGTTAAGGGTTAAATAACCTTTTATTCGCTTACCCGATAACAGCTCCGAGATCCCTCGGCGCTGGGTCACGATCCCGCCGCATCTTCCGATGGGAGACCTAATGTGCATGCGCGGCGAGCACTTGCGCACGTTATCCCATTGTACAGCTCTACGGAATTTGATGGCGCTATATAAATAATAATATACTAATAATTAGGCATTCCTGATAGGAAAGCATTGTATAAATTATTTTTTGTTGGGGGGGGGAGGGGGGGGGTTTCTGACACTGGACATCCTCGTGCGGAGCGTGAGGACGTCCAGCGTCATTTCATGGATTCAAGCTCCATGAAAGTTGAGGAAGCGCCTCTAGTGGCTGCTTGTTTTACGTTGCAGGATTTAGTGTGAAAGGGACACTGCATTTTCAACTTCAGCGAGATGAATTGGTCTGGGTGCATATAGCGTCCCTTTAACCATGCTGGTAAAAAAGAACATGTGGGCGAGACTATAGGCTTAAGCCAGCGCATAATTTACCAGTCCTGGGATATGTATCTCTGGGAGTCAATAATATTTTATTTTCATTGTGCCAGTAGATTCATTGATTGAATGAATGGAGGACAGAGCATGGGTGATCGCTTGGGCTTCAGAAACTCTCATCACTAGAGTTCATTGTGAAACAGGCTTTTAACATTTCCTATTTCAGAGTAAAATGGTAAAGGAACACGCACAACATCAGGGTTGTAGTACATTATGTAATATAATTATAGTAACTTTTAACTAGCATGTTGAGAATTGATTTTAGTTTATTCAATAAAGTGTTTATTTGTCGTGAATTTCAAATTTTAACTCAAAATATCATTAGACAATAATTTGAAGTCTGACTTATTAGATTGATTTAGTCTCTTTTGGCTTAAAAGCTGAAATTCACCTTATCACCGTATTCCTATCAGTTCACACTTTAGTGAATAACTGTGAGTATATTCCACACCTGTTTATGTAAAGCTTACTTGCAGTGCCAACCTAGCCTGGGTATTGGGCAATGTCAAGGAAGTATTGCATCAACAACATATACTTAACTAGTTTTACAATTCCATGTAATGTATTCACTGCTTCAGGGAGATTGTAAATGTGCAGTGACCGCTTACAATGAAAATCTTTATAATTTGTTTTACGACTTGGTAAGAGCTAGGCCGATAAACCTCCCAACGTGACCCTTGACTAACAGCATAACACAAAGATTAACTCCTGGGTGTTCGCAAACAGAGGACTTTGAAAACCTGTCATTACACTAGAGAAGTATCCTATCTACAAAGGTTTCCTGATAACATTTACGGCAAATGCTCTATGCTAGAAATTGACTCAATCACTGGTGTGCTACGTGCAGATATATCTTGAATGTTTAGGGCTCCCATTCTTTACGTTAAAGTGCTGTTTATGTGGTCTTCTGCAGTGAAAGAAAGTGTCTCTAAATACATTTTGATATTCTTTATTTGGTAGGCTGTAACAGGTGCTCTACATCTATTTATCAATGTTTAAAATAAAAGTAAAACACGTACACTGTTAATAATATTAACTCTCCACATTAATATTTAACAAGAGGTTAAAGGACCACTATAGTCCCAGGAAAACATACTCGTTTTCCTGGCACTATAGTGCCCTGAGGGTGCCCCCACCCTCAGGGTCCCCCTCCCGCCGGGCTCTGGGGAGAGGAAAAGGGTTAAACTTACCTTTTTTCCAGCGCCGGGCGGGGAGCTCTCCGCCTCCTCCCTTACGGCTGAATGCGCACGTGCGGCAAGAGCTGCGCGTGCATTCAGCCGGTCTCATAGGAAAGCATTCATAATGCTTTCTTATGGATGCTTGCGTGTACTCACTCTGATTTTCACAGTGAGAATCACGCAAGAGCCTCTAGCGGCTGTCAATGAGACAGCCACTAGAGGATTTGGAGGCTGGATTAACCCTAACATAAACGTAGTTTCTCTGAAAGAGCTATGTTTATTAAAAAAAAAGGGTTAACCCTAGCTGGTCTGGGTGCCTAGAGTGGTCCTTTAAGAAGGACCTATTCAAAAAAGCTAAGTCTATTCAATTGGTACCCAAAAGTGATACTTTGCCATTTCAAAGGCATGCAAAGCCTCATGGGAGTTGTAGTTCTGCAACATCTGGGGATCTACTCTAGTGGATACTGATCAAGTGCCCTGACACCCCCAATCCTGCTTATATTTAAAGGGACACTGCGGTCACCATAACAACTTCATCTAAATGAAGGTCATGGGGCATACCCTTACCTTAAGGGTTAAACAGTTCTCAAATGGTTTAACCCCTTAAGGACACATGACATGTGTGACATGTCATGATTCCCTTTTATTCCAGAAGTTTGGTCCTTAAGGGGTTAACCCCAAAGGTTGCCTCCAGCATTGATCTGCAGGTCCTCCAGGCAGGATCCGGCTTCTGAATCTGTTACAGGAAGCATAGAGTGCCAGGACAGAGAGTCTCTGATTGACTAGAGCAGTCAGCCGACGCTCTAAGCCAAACAGTAGCTCCCCGTTGATAAAAAGGTATGGAAGTTCCCATGCTCAAACTTTCGTTAGCTCTTCTGACTTAAGCCGCAATGCATGGCTTAGCCCATTGATCGCACTAAGCCAATGAGCTAAACCCCGCTGTACTCTCCTAACCACTTATTTACCAGTCATTGTACTTTGTTGATATATACTGGCTAGTTTAATTAAACCCTCCATCATTCAAAAAAGTTGTGATGGGTATTATCTTCTTTATTCTGATTGGCTAGATTACTTTAGTCTGGACCTTTTTTTTTCTCTCTGTTTTTGCTAGTTAGTCATAACCTCTGTATTTGTAGGTGCTCCACTCTCGGATGAGATCAGCGCAGTTCATCCATCCAATGAGCTACAACTGGCGGTAAGGATAAGACCCATCTTATTGTGTTTCAGTTGCAATTAGGAACTACAGTGTGAATACATTTTGGCAGCTCTACGCAGCAAAAATTTTCCAACCCCGCTATCCTGGCCTGAGATTTGCAATTGTCGGTTCTTCACCATTTAGTAAATAAACCTCTTCGAATGGAAAAACGTTGGTTTAAAATTATCGCATAGGAGAAGAGGAGAAATAAAAGATTCAGTTTTGCTGAAGTTTGTATGGTGGTTGTTAAAGGGGCACTCCACTCCTCCCCTGTTCTCCCCCCCCTAAAAAAATCACTGTTTAGTAGATATATCCCCAATGTAACCATTCATGCATTTATTTTAATGGGGGAATTATATATATATATATATATATATATATATATATATGTGTGTGTGTTTGCAAAAGCTGCAGATCTCTTCTCTAAAGGCTTTGCAAGCCACCCCCTTCTTTCTCAGCTTAGACTTTCTGTGGCTGTCCAATCACAGACTTCCCAGTGAGAAGTCTTTAGAAGGTAGGTGCTCTGGGCAATTGCCTGCCTCCACTGAGCTAACCAAATCAGGAAGTAACAGGACCGATTGTCTCATTGACAGCCAAGGGGGTGTAACAAAGTTTATTTATAAAAGGGGCAATTTCTATTTAAATCTGCACTTTTTGTAAAAGGGGGGGAAAAGTGGACATACTTTTCACAAATAAAGCACTTCAGCAAGCTTAAGTGCTTTAGGTGTCTAGAGTGTTCCTTTAACTTATAACAGCTCACAGCTTAGCACTGGAATGGCAAACCCTAGCACTGCGGGCTCAGCTGTGCATCACGGAATGTAGATCCCAAATCTCTAGTGTGCCAATATTGGCAATGACTTGTGTGTGTGTGTGTGTGTGAACATTTATATGTGAATAATTCGTTCCACCTTGCAGTGCAAGTAAATAGTCCCTTCTCTTATGTAACAGAGCATCTTCCAGACTTTTACACACGGTACCCAGTTCATGCTGCTACAGCAAGACCAACAGCGAGGCTAAGTACAAAGACCCATTCAAGCTTGGAAGCAGTGACCTAAAGTCTCTCTATGATGATATCAAGAAGGTGAGGAGTTATTCACGTTAATTATTGGGACTCCTTGTTTGTCTTTTTCTTTGAAATTCTTCTGCAGTTCTATTTGTTTGATTTTAGCTTTTCCTTTTATATATTTTATTTATTTATTTTTAGGAGCTGCTTGTAACAACCAAGGAACTGAAAGACATGTGTGAATATTACTTTGATGGGAAAGGGAAAGCGTTAAGACCGATGCTGGTTGTGCTAATGGCACGAGCATGTAATAGTCATTATAATAATTGTAGGTGAGCTGACTTTTATGATTGTACATTGGGTAGCTATATTTTTCTTCTTTTTAGTGCGTTGTTTTTATTTAATCTCCCCTAGAATCGCTCTAATCATGGGAAGAATGCTAAAAGTAGAGAAATCTGCTGTTGAGTATAATTATTTTTACACTAGGACTTTGCCCTATAATTCCTATTAAATTGAATTTGTCAAGACAGGTTCATCTTAGCAGATAACAGCAACAAATAGATATATAATTTATCATAATGCTCGTCCAGCGTACCAGTGCAGCCATGGTACCTGTTACTTCTGCATAAATTCAATTTACATTTTTTTTGTCATTTAGTGCATAGAATCCTGTATCATGACATTTACACTTTAAACATAAACCTTTAAATGGACTCTGTAGGCACTATAACCAATTCAATGAGATTAAATGGTTAATGTTGTCTGGAATTCTCTGGCACTGTTCCACCATTCAATGTTAAACTATTTTTAAACAATTTGACAGTAAATGTTTTTTTTGTTTGTTTGTTTTTTTACCATCTACATCCCGCCCCCCCTTGTGTAAGTATAGCTAAGGCAGAGGTTACACACTTGCTTCTAGCTACACCAACTGATACCAGTAATGGGCACTGTGATAGGCTGAAAGTGGTCAGCTTGCACTTTCAGCCAATCACAGATTAATGCTTCCTTGTTAGCCCAAGCAGCACACAGGGTGGAGGTTCTGATGGGGCCCTCTTGAGCATTTGAACATTAAAAACGTTTCAATGCTAAATGGAAGAACAGTGCCCAGGGGCTCCAGATACTATAACTACTTCAAAGAAACAAAGTACAGTGCATACAGTATCCCTTTAAAATGTTGGTAAAGTGCAGCATGGTAATAATTTGCCATTATATTTTAGAAACCAAAATTAAATTAAGATTTTCACGTTTTGATTAAAACCTTTCCTCAGCTATGTGCAGTTTTAGCACGATATTTTAAACGAGCAAGAGAATGTGAATACAATGAGACCTCTTTATATGACTTTAAATGTCCATAGCAGTGTATGTGCACATTTGTTTGTGATGAAAATAATTAACATGTGTTGTATATTTATGCAGAGAGGTGCAGCCTGAGCAGCGCTCTATTGCCGTTATAGCAGAAATGATCCATACGGCTAGTTTAGTACACGATGATGTCATTGATGGTTCCGACTCGCGAAGGGGCAAAAAAACTGTTAATCAGATCTGGGGTGAAAAAAAGGTAAGTTATCAGTTATCGATGAGAATTCCATTCGTCAGTATTTGTCCTTTACCTTTACGTCTGAACACTTTTTATGTTACATATCTAGATTGTTTGGTGTGTTTTACCATGAGTTCTATTTTGTTCGCATCTGTACTGTTTTAACAATGCTTATAACGACTGGAGAGCCCAAATTAAATGGATATGGAGATAGATAGATATATATATAAAATTTCTGAATATACTGATACCCTTTAGAGTTTGAGATCCAGTATGTTGACATGCTTCTGTGGCCCTGTAGGGTTATTAACTCTCTTGTCTGTCTCTTTAAGGCTGTCCTTGCTGGAGATTTTATACTTTCTGCTGCTTCTGTAGCTTTAGCAAAGATTGGAAATACCACTGTCATCTCTGTACTGTCTCAGGTCATTGAAGATTTGGTGCGTGGTAAGTTCTCAATATTTACTTTATTAAATTAGGTTACATAGCTGAAAAGAGACTTGCGTCCATCAAGTTCAGCCTTCCTCACATATGTTTTTGCTGTTTATCCAAAAGAAGGCAAAAAAAATCCAGTCTAAAGCGCTTCCAATTTTGCAACAAACTAGGAAAAAATTCCTTCTTGTCCCCAAAATAGCAGTCAGATATCTCCTTGGATCAAGCAGCTATTACCCCACTAATTAGAAATTATATCCCTGTATGTTATGTTTTTGCAAGTATTTAGCCAATTTCAGTTTAGACATCTGTATGAACTCTGACAAAACCACCTCTTCAGGCAGAGAATTCCATATCCTTATTGCTCTTACTGTAAATAAAACCTTTTCTTTGCCTTAGGTATTCTGTTGATGCTTTCCTTAGCCTTTTACCCTCATAGAAGCAACATTTGAAGATAGATGATAGATTTCCTGCCAGGAACTTGCACGGTTGAGCAATCTCAGTGATGCTGTGGATGTGACCATAACGATTTTTGAAAATGTTTTGCTTACATTTTACCAGCATTAAAGGAACACTATAGGGTACACAAACATTGCTGTTTGCAGTGACGAGTAACTTTCAAGTTACTTGTCACTTATAAATAGTATACGGCTTGGAATTTTAAGCCATGATTGGGTGATATAAAAGTTTTTGGTTTTTTTCAGTGTTTAATTGTTTCCACATACATTAGGTGTGGCAAAAATAGCTAGGTAATATCAACTACCGTGTGTATTGGTATTTGTCGGGTACATAACAGCATTTCTGTGACTAGAGCTTTGTATGAATGCCACCAGAATGATAAAACTGTATGTGGACATAATGGCCACATGTAGTTTAATACATTTGCACCAAAGATCTTTACTGCACATGGTATTGCAAGTAGACGCAGCAGCCTGCAAAGAATCCCTGTAGTGTACTTTGCATGTTCATTTAGCCCAACCTGCTGGTTGAATGCAGAACTGAAGTTTCACCTACAAAATTTGGATGCCAAGGGATAGAATTAGGCATTGGATGAAAATGTAGTTTGTCTGAAAAAATTAGTGCTGAAAGGACCACTAAAGTCACTACCGTCTTGAAGTGGTGTGGGTGTAGTGGTCTTGGCATTTTTAACCCTGCACTGTAAAACATTGCAGGGTTAACACACTTCTAGTGGCTGTCTTCCTCTACAACAACTGAGTAAAACTTGGTCGCGTGAGGTTGTCACTTTCCTGCAGAACTGGATATCAACTCAAGAGCTGGATGACCTCACAGAAGGCAGAGCGAAACTTTGGCAATGGAGAAAAGGTAAGTAAAAACCTTTAGATCTGCAGAAAGGGTACTAAAGATTTTTATTCCTAACGCTATAATGTTCCGTTAGACTATGGGAAATAAAATTGAGGTTTATGAGCTAAAGTTTTTGAGTTACTAGACAGCCACTAGAGGGCACTAACCTGTTCATAGCACATGAAAAGTGTGCTATAGCGTCGCTGAAATCCCTGTAGGAAAGCATTGAAAGCATGTTTCAATGCTTTCCTATGGGGAGGTCTAATGTGCGTGCGCGGCATTGCTGCGCATGCACATTAGGTCTCCCCCGCCGGATGACGTCAGCGGGGGAGGAGCGTGGGCAGACCTTGACCTAGCGCTGAGGGACATCGGCGCTGGATACAGGTAAGCAACATGGGATGGGGGATGGGAGGGAGAGGGGACCTGCAGTGCCAGGAAAACGGTTTGTTTTTCTGGCACTGGAGAGTCTCTTTAAGGTTTTGATTGCAGACTGAGAATTTCTGCTGGACAGTGTATAATTTTACCCTTGCTGTTTCTTTCCAGGTGAATTCTTACAGCTTGGTTCCAAAGAGAATGAAAATGAAAGATTTGCTCACTACCTCGAAAAAACCTTTAAGAAGACTGCAAGTCTCATAGCCAACAGCTGTAAAGCAGTATGTACGTTCCACATTTTCTATAGTTTAACTCTTGCACAGATCGGTTTTAAGTATACTATTTAAATGGGCACTGTCATTAAAGGGACACTCCAGACCTGTAAAGCACTTAAGCTTGCTGAAATGCTTTATGTGTGAAGTGTGTCAATCAGACAACCGGTCCTGTTTCTTCCTGGTTTGGTTGGTTTATTTGCTCTGAACTCAAGAGGAAGCAATAGCTCAGAGCACCTGCCTTGCAAAGACTCGTCAGCTGCACTGGGAAGTCTGTGATTGGACAGCCACAGAAAGTCTTGGCTGGGTTAGAAGGGGAGGGCTTGCAAGAGCAACAGATAAGATAGCTGCAGGTTTTGCAAGGTTTTTTTTTTGTTTTTTTTGTAGATATACCACCAATGAAAAAAAATCATAATTGGATACATGCATGTTTTTGTTTGGGGTATATCTAGTAAACTGTGGTGTGGTTGTTTTTTGGCAGTGGATTGTCCCTTCAAAGCTTATCCACCCTTTTTACTGGGTGGAGTATGTGTTAATTTTGGTGGCAAATTTAAATTTTAGTTTTGACTAAAATATGACTAAAACCATAATGGCTTTTTAGTCAAAAGACTATGACTAAAACAAAATCGAAATTTGCTGCCAAAATAAACACTGCACAGAGGGGCTGGGGAAGGGGCAAAATAGACAGACCGGGGCTTGGGAGAGAGACACCTAGAGGGGCTGGGAGGGCACAAAGAGACACAGAGGGGCTGTGGAGGGGCAAAAGAGACAGATGCATTAAACACATTAGATTTTAGTTAAAGTTTTAGTCGTATTTTAGTCATCTGAATTATTTTAGTCGACTAAATCTCCAGAACATTTTGTCTCTTTTGCCCCTCCCCAGCCCCTCTGTGCCCTCTCGGCCCCTCTAGGTTTCTCTCGCTCCCAAGCCCTGGTCTGTCTCTTTTGCCTCCTCCACAGCCCCTCTGTGCAGTGTTAATTTTCGCAGCAAATTTCAATTTAGTTTTAGTCATAGTCTTTTGACTAAAATACCGTCTTAGTCGTATTTTAGTCATCTGAATTATTTTAGTTTTAGTTGACAAAATTAACACTGGGTGGAGTGATTTGGGACATGGTCAGGAAGTTGGGTATTACAGAAATTAGGTGACTTCATAAACTGTTGATCGCTGTTTCTGAAATTCAGTACGTGATTTGATAAACACACTTTCTTAAAACCAATTATTTGAATACATATTACATATATAATGCATATTACTGCTAATTATTAGTTTAATTAAGCTAAGTATTGCAGTGATACCTGTACAGACTGCATATTACTAGTACTATTGCTGTTTAAAATTATGATATTCTTACACATCTAAGATTGCCAGATCCACCACGTCTTCGTGGACAAACCTTGTCTTTGCATCCTGTTAAACGGCACATGGAAAGAGCTTCCCTCTAGTCTAGTAGGTCGAATTCACATGCTGCAAGAGCGAAATTTGTGTATTTAAGGGAGCATTTTCTACTTTTTATTTATTTATATTTGCAAATACCATTCAAGGTGACCTGACAATTTCCATGGTGAAGCCCAGTGTAAAATGGGGGAATACCTCACTTGATTTTATCTATGCTTTTCCCTCAGTTACATCTTTAGTCCCTAATGAAATAATATACCGGAAACCTGTGTGACAGGTGGCAGGACGTGGTGACAGCCGCTGTTTGATGAAGCTCCTTTTATAATTGTTCCAAAATATTACAAGTATTCTTTAAAATAAAAAAAAATTAGAAAGCGCTGCGTTCATCAAGCTGGAGCCACTGGCCTTCCTGCGTTCTAAATATCCCTCTTCCAGAACATGAAGTATATAACGTTTCTGGGAAGCCCTTTTCATGTACCTCACGGTATCATGTATGGAATCACATGATGCAGTCACAATGTTATTTACTGTGTGATAGTACATTCCATACATTTCTATGATACAGCTGTGTAACTCTCGACACTTTTCATCTCACTTAGGATGTACTCAAACAACTTTATGAAAAAAAAAAAAAGAAAAAAGGCAATTAGTGTTAGAATGCAGTCACAAAGGGAAAAACCTTTACTATTTAATTTTTGTTGCCCAAATACATGGTGGTTTTATGTGACTTCCAGCAATATGTTACTATTGATTTCTGTTTCAAGGACCTGAAAACTGGTGAATGAAATATTGCACAGCTTGGCTTCCTAAATGTGAGCTACTCAATATACTAAAGAGATGCTCATGTTAGAAGACAACAAATTAGTTCTTTATAGCCTGGTTCGTGATCGATTGATCTGTATTGACGACTTTTACCTTATCTCCAGTTGCCAGACAGCTGGCTAGCTCCCAGTTATCTGCACAGAACCAAATTGTTGGAGGACAGAAATTCAATGGAACAGTTAAAACATTAATTTCAATCTAATGGCATTCAATACATGTTTGGGTAAACCTTTGCTTTCTGTACACATAGCTAGACTGATATTTGTTTCAGTGTATGGCATCCATGCCCCCCATAATATTCTTTTCTTTGTTGTTTAGGTTTCGATCTTGGCATGCCCTGACCCGAAGATCCATGAGATTGCATATCAGTATGGGAAGAACATAGGTATAGCTTTCCAGGTAAACATTAACATGGAGGAAGTGGTTTTTATAAGAAGTTGATGGTCCCCAGAAGCACAAAGTGCTAGACAAAAGGTAGATTATGTGCCATGTCTACGATAGTTCCACAGTATAGTCCAGTGAACTGGAGTCGATGTAAACAGGATGCATGTGAGTGGATACCCCACAATTAGTACAGAAACTAAGTAATTCTAGGTTTGTGTCGCTGTGGCATTATAGGCACAGAATTGACTGTGCAAGTTCTGCAACCTTCAGGACTCTGGTCGAGTTCCTCCCAACAAGTACAATTTAATCAGATTGTACATTTCTAACCTACTATTGTATTATAAACACATTACAGCAGGTGATACAAATGCACTGGCTCACCTTTACTGCAATGTTAACCATCTTTATGCTTCTTTCAGCTTATAGATGATGTGCTGGACTTTACATCTTGCGCTCATCAGCTAGGGAAACCAACAGCTGCAGACCTTAGACTGGGACTTGCAACCGGTCCCGTTTTATTCGCTTGCCAAAAGGTAAATCTTTCCTATATAATATTATTATTATTATTATTGAGGAGGGACCTGTAATGTCACTAGCAAAGAAACAGATCCACCACCTTGCAGGTGTATTGAATTTATGTAGGTTTTTGCTGATCCTTTTATCTGTAAAATCACATGCAGCCGTCTATGAACTGCCTTTGCAATCATGGATTTAAACCATAAGAGACAGAAGGGAACATGTAAACCATTGACCACTGAGAGTCATTGGAGCCAATGAGTTTTATGACATCGTTGTGATACTCTTCTTTCAAACTGTCGTGAAATTATTTTATTTGCTAGTTCTGTATTTTCTACTGTGAAACCTGCTTTTTACAGAAAGCAGCTATACACTGTGGGAAAAGGAACTTGCAAATCATATTCAGCTTTTGCTTACACTGTATTTTCACACACACAAATAACATGTTAATCTGTGTATCAATTTTCTTGCTACATTTCCTTTCTTTCTGTCTATTGGAATGATCAACCTGTGCTTCTCAACACACCTCCTGATAGTTAATTTATATTCTATAAATATCATAATAATTCCCATGTGGTAAGAGGGGAGGATGCAAGAGCTGCTTTTATAGGTTAATACTAATGTTCCACTCTTTTGCTTTCTATAGTTTCCAGAGTTAAATGCAATGATATTGAGAAGATTCAGTTTACCCGGAGATGTTGAACTAGCATGGCAGTATGTGAGTGAGGTAAGAATTCTTTGAGGAGTGTGGAATACGTTTAATATTTGACTTCAGGGTTTGTTTAAAAAGATATGTGAACCACACATTCTCTAAACAATTCAATCAATGTTAAAGGTAGATCTGCTATGCTTATAGCATTATGCAGTTTACAAAATACCATGGGGGGGGTGGTTGGCTTTTTTTCTCTCTATACGCCCAGAGTGTCTGGCAGGGATCACGGTTTGTTCTAAAGAAACCAATGTGCACTATGTCATGGCATTTAAACTACGTTGGTCAAAGCCTGGCTGTGCTCATAAAGCGCTGCTACTGGGATAAGCACAGTGGGGCCATAGACGTTTTTAGTGAACATCATAGGGGCTGGGTTATTTCCCAGTTTGGTGAGATCTCACTGCAGAACCAAGTCCCAAAGTATATAAAACATGATAATCCGTCTGCAATATCTGTGGCCTGTGTAGTGGATAAGTGCGGAAAGAAAAGGACAAAAGGGGAGTATTAAGACAAAGTGCATTTTTATTTTATTAATATTTTTAATTCATTCACATAATGCGGTAGAATTGGTGTTTGGTAGCTTGGAGTGTCCAGTAAATGTAAGGCAATTAACATTTGCCTTGGACTTTACATGTAATTCATAAAGTAAGATTAGTGCCTACCTTAATTTATTAACACTTTGTAAAATGAATAGAGGTTTATGGTTTTATATGTGATGTTTGTTAGGGTCTACAAGGTGATACATTCAATTGTCTCCTCTCACCTCTCAGAGTGATGGTGTTCGCCAAACAACCTACCTCGCCCAGCGTTACTGTACTGAAGCCATCCGAGAGATTAGCAAGCTTCAGCCGTCCCCGGAGAGAGATGCGCTTATTCAGCTAACAGAAACTGTGCTCACAAGGGACAAATAACACCTGTGGACTTGCACACTCCCTGGCAGCTCCCACCAAACTGTGCCTAATGCAACACTTTAAAACACAGCCAGCGCTACTTCCTGTGCAGGCCACCAAAAAAAAAAAAAATCACTTTTTTTTTTTATTTTAGATCTTTAAAAAAGCTGTTGTCTACATTAAAGTACTGTACTTTTTTTTTTTTTTATCCAGTGTAAGCCATATGACTTATTGAACAGTGGTAAAGAAAAGGGATTTTATTTTCCTTAGGGAACATTTTATAATATGTATCAAATTATCAAGGAGTTTTTATTTTAAAGACCCATATATATGCTTACTCACAAGTGAGCTGGTGAGTTGAGAAAAAGTTTGCAAAAAGTAATATTCATAGTTTGTGGTTGTAACAGAATTTGAGTCACATCTGGAATATTCTGAGAATGAATTCAAGATGGCAAAGGGAGTAGAGATATAGCCACAGCTCTAGTAAATTATGGTAAAGGTGAAATTAAATTTAGGAGGATTATTCACTAAAGTGTGATTTATTGGAAATTCAAGGCACATTTAAAATTTTAGAATAAAACAACCTAGGAATATTTTCCAGTTTGGCTTTGCGGTCAAATTTGGAATGCAGTTTGCATTCCTGATGTTTTACATATAGCTGCATATTGGCTGACTGTCAGATCAAACGCTGTAGATTTAGGAGTGTCCAGGTCTGGCACAAAGTCATGGTTCCATTTTATAGGCAGTAAATATCTATACATTGAGTATTTCAAAGAGACTGGCCTATTCCTTTATACACTATTTAACAGTGCAGTAAATACTGCATCTATGGAAGCTGGTTACAGCCAACCCTTAAGTGCTGGAATTGCTTTCCACAATTCTCAGATTACAGCTGTATACCAAGGATTGTAGGATGCCACATGCATTTGTCAGCACCATGCCTAGATTAAACGTATACCTACCTTGTCACACATTTTTGTAATGGCAGCTCAAGCAATCTTGTGTACAACACAGTTGATAGCCTCTCCAAAAATAACGTGTCTATTTTTTTTTTTTCTCCTTTATTTAAAAAAATAAAACCCGTTTATGTACCTGTGATGTTACACACACTTTAAAATAAATGTATTAATTTGCATCTCTACATTATGCTAGCAAATGTGGAGTAAAAGGCAAAACCCAAGTAAAAAAGAAAATTAAAATTATATACGTCATTCACCACATTTCAATCAAATATTCAATGTTTTTGATTTACCTCCAATGTACTTTTATGGAAAAATTGTGTTAAGTTTACCAACAAGCCAGCGATATGTGCTGTTATTTTAATCCGCATTAAATCCCTGGCCCGGGCAGTCATTGCATTTTATTAAGTAAAATATGAATTTAATTGCTGGATGCAAGTTACCAAATCACTCTGGCACTCGATTGAAGTGATGTTAATTTGTATTTATCCCTTTTCCTTACTATTGCTACTGTATAAAATGTACCATTACCTGTGCTGGAGCAGCCTGTGTTGTATTTGGTTGGCATAAACAAGCCTTGTTTACATTGGTGATAGACTTGTGTGCAGAGGCCACCATAAGAAATAAACCTGATTAATGTATCTGGTATTGTGTGCTTCGACATCTTCATGTCCCATCTGTTGTCGCCAAACTTTGTCAACAATAAATATACACTTTTTTTATGCATTTTTTTTTCCCCTTTCACAACTGGTTTAGATCTAAGAAACACTGCCATCTTTATTACGTAGGAGAATGGTTTATTATAAAAGACTGTACATAAGATTAACAGGTTATATACAAATGAAATTGTCCAAATCGAAAATAAACACTTATTTTTAAAAAGTTTTTATAATGTTTCAATTCGTATAACGATAAGAAAGCATGGAAATTACAAGTGGATAGAAAGAAAAAATTAAATTTCACAGCAAAGCTCAGCATTTAAAAAGCAAGACACCAGTTTGATACTGCCAAATATAGCAAAAGGGAATCCCTTTTTATAGACAGTTTGGGATCTAGAGGGCAAAGTTACCATCTAATGGCAGTTCTGGTATCAACTGCAAAGCATGATTTGCTTTTTATCTTTTCAAATCAATGCAAAAGTATATTCCCCCACATTTGTTTTTAAAATGCCTATTTGAAGCCATTAGCAGAAAAACGAATTAATCTGATATACTACATGCAGTGTTAGACTGTTCAGTGCAACCTGTTCATGCAGACATGAGTACGGATGGGTGAAGCCTACCACCAGAAAACTATTGCAGTTGAAAAAGAGCACCTGTGAGAAACCTCGATCTAAAAACGAGGAAATTCCATTTTGTGAATTAAGTTTTGCAAAACACGTTTAAAAAAAAAAAATAAGTCACCTCATCTCCCACAAAGTTCCCGAAAAATGAAAAACTCCTTTCCCCATGTCCAGTTAGTCAGGTGGAAATTTAAACGTCATGACAATTTGCCACTGAAAGCAAGAATTTGCAGTGCAGATACAACAGGGTTTTCCTGCCCATCCCTAAACATTAGAGTATCCAGAACAGTCCCCTTACACAGCAGAGGGTTTGAAGGAAGAAGGGAAAAAATAAGCAGATATCAAGTGCCCTAATCCAAAAAGTTTTCTGGTGAACAGTTATACGAAGAAAAAAAAGCCGACATAGCAATGGCACTTACTAGACTACAACTGGCATCATTCTCCACAAGATCTATGCTACCTACCCTCCATATGAACACATGAAATTCATAAAGCCGCCCGCCCTCTTACAAAAATAAGAATCTGGATACTTTTGGCCCAGTTTGCTCCAAAGTGGAGACCTTGGCACATTAACCGGTCCCTTAATGTAGTATATCTGTGCTATTTTAATGCCTGGTCACAAACATTTTGGAATGTTTAACAAACGTCAGTATTTCACCATTTAACGTAGCAGTGCAGGTTTTGTGCGTTTAAGAGGGGGTTGGGGAAAAAATGTCTACATACTGTATATTTCCATAGACATTTTACACTGTATTTGATTTAACTCTGAACTGAGCCTGTAATGACCAACTCTTGAGATCTGAGCTACATATTTCCTCCCCAATGATGCTCTGTTCTGCTGGCCAACGTTTTGCCATCACTAGCCTATAACCTTTCACCAGCAGTTTAATGAATTGACACCTGCTTTGTACATAAAGCAGGAATCTTTGATATGCAGGTTCCACATTTAAATTTGGACGTTAACTCCGTTTTACTAAACCTGAGCTCTCCTAGGTTTGAGACTATAGTTGCAGGTTAATTTGAAATTATGCTGAACGACTGCAGTATAAATATGAATTACGGCACCTGATTAGCCCGGATTTCATTAAACTGTCTAATAGTTTAATAGAAGCCATGTTGTAAAGGTGTGTTAATCAAATGAGTGCAAAACAGAGCCGCAGCATACTTCTTGCACTCAAGTCAAATCATATTGTTGCCCTTGTTAGTGGAATTTTTATTCTTGCTTTCTTCCCAAGAAATGTGACTCTGACATGTACTGCTGTCAATTAAAAAAAGGAAAACTGATGGGTGGTGCTAAATAGATTACAAAAGACAAAAAAAAAAAAAAAAGATTTAGGTAGAGAAAGTAGCCATTTTGATTTATTACCATATTTATGCTGTATATGCCAACCTCTTCTGCCTCTCCGTCCCAACCAGCAGTGTTTTCCATTTTGTTCCTAATACTTCGCTCAAGGCACTTCTGGGATTCGCAGTACAGCTGTTAGCGGTCAGTAGAAATACAGTAGCGGTTTATACGGTTAGTAGAAATTCCCAGAAACACTGCTTATCCACAAGGCCTCACTTATGGATTCAGTACACAGAAACGTTAAAGCGGCTTTGTTACTTTGCAGGTTTTGCATTTAAATTAATCTTTTTTTTTGTGTGTGTGTGTATATGTATATGTATATATATATATATATATATATATACACATACATACATACACATACATATACACACACACACACACACAAAGTAGCAACTATTTTTCTAACAGGGAATTTGATCTTTTGGAATTGGCAGTTGCTAAAGCAAAGTTCCACTAATGTTGCTAATTTACACACATTCCATCAGTCAAAAGAATCTCATAGAATGGTAAACTTCCCACAGCATTGAGAACAAAATGGAGGCGCCCATGTTTTAAGGTTCAACGCAGGGAAGGAAAAAAGTATATAAATGAAGGCAAGTGGCAAAGAGGGGAGTATATTCATTAAGATACAAGAGGCATAAGGAAAATAAAACAAGGGCAATTAAAAATACGTAACAGAGCCGCTTGAAATATGAAGAGAAACTAGTCACTTTTTTGTCAGGATGAGCTCGGTGCAGAAGTGCAAAGTTTGGAGATGTTGTGCAACCCAGTTAATGAAGGACAATTTAGCAAATACAAAACATGGGCTCTCTCTACAAACTTTTTTAAATACTTTTTTTTTTTTTTATCAAAGTCCAAAATATGTCCTTGGTGTAGTATTTGAACGATAAAACATGTCGTACAGCATACTAGCAATAAATCAACGATTCATTTATATTAAACCTCAGAAAGCAGTTTGTGACAACAGTAATAGGAAACACTACTATTTAAAAATCAAAGAAAAGTATTTATCAGAATTGGCTTTACTGTGTGAGCAATTATTTTCTTTTCGTGATTGGATATACTATAAGCGCCGCCCAAGTACGTCAAAAGCCTTTTTTTTTTTTTTTTTTTTCAGAATTTAAAACCAGAAATGTACAGTCCATTAAAGCAGTTATGTATTCAGGAAAGTGATATTCAAAATGGTTGAATAAAAGAAATGCATACAAATTACAAAATACATTTTACAACCATTTTTTTTTTTTTTTGGATTCACAAATGGACACTTTAAAAGACTTCACAAATCCTTGAATATGTGAGTACTCATGGTAAATGTTACAATATATTGGAAGCATTGTGGATTCTTAAAAAAATATTTCAGTACATAAGTTCTGTATGCATGCTTTAAACAAATTGTTTAATAATTAGAATGAGCGATTATCTAATTAAAAGGCAGTACGACCAGCGGTAGTAGCATTAAATTATAGTCCAAATGTTAATGTTCGTCTAACTTAGTGTTAGTTTCCATGCTGCACTGAAAATAAAAATGCAATGGCACACGATGAATTCATTATTAAATACTACACCCTATAACCCAATGGAATATTTACGCTGGTCATTAAAATCAACGACTGAGAAGTGAATACAGAAGCAGAAACAACTGGCGCCCCCTGTTGATACGACTGCAATTGGTCTTTTGAGGCTCACGAGAAGACATTCCACCATAGCACAAATGCCTGTGCCCTTTCGGCGACAAAGATGTGCGCAGGCGCCGAATAGGTTAAAAGAAGAAGAAAAAAAAAAAACAAGCCACGGCTTTACACATACGCAGACGTTACTTCTTACAATTAAATTTAAAACCAGAATAGACGTGTTGTACTGAACTCAATGTTCTCTCTTTAAAAAAAAAAAAATTAGAATTCTTTTTAATCCGCATAGTGCATGATTGTTTCAACATAATTCCCAGGAAAAAGGCCGGTTACACCATTGGAAACTCCTTCATACCAGCCATCGTCATTCTTCTTGATTACGTAAATGATTGATCCCTCCATGAAAGACAGCTCATCATCCTTATCCTTTGCATAATCGTAAATGGCAACAACTAAAAAGATTTTTAAAAAAAGAACACTTAAGGTTAGGTTAATAGAGGGATAAAATAAATATAATTTTCCCACCCAAAAATACACTATTTGACACCCTCCTTCCCCAATTACCAGGCCTTCAGGAACAAGGGCTAAACTAGAGTGCCATCTCTGAGTGGCACCTGTGCCATAGGATCCCCATCACAGTTCTGTAGTTGTGCACAGTTAAGGAAAGATGAACAGTTTAAAAACAAAATGTAAATTAATCAGATTCCACCCCCTCCACACGTGTTATGTGTATACTCTTCCGATACAAAACCAATATGTGTATTTTGTTCTGTCGTGGATATTTGATAAATTGTCGAAAATTTATCAATTTTAGGTCAAATTATCTGATGTAGACAAAAACCCGCTCTGCTATTTTGCCAGCTGGATAATTTTGTATTAAAATGTAGAATTCTCCATAGTTCCCAGAGAATAATCCTGAACGTGTTCATTGAGCCATAGAATGGTAAACAGGGGAACAGAATTAGCAATGAAGAGCAGAGTACCATTGAGCCCCATGGAGTTCCAAGCTTAATAAAACAGGTCTCATGTTAAAAGGAAGTCTGGCTTTATGGCCCCACAATTGTTTTCTCCTAACCATACGATCAGCAATAGCTAGATCTATGCACGGAGCTATTGCACCATTTGCAAAATTTGCAACACGTCTTCATTGGAATTATGTTAATGGCTATGGTAAGAGTAAGGCAATCAGGCCGGTTTGGGGTATATTTAAGAAAATAAAGGTTTCCTCTTTGTGTTCCAATCTGTGTAAGCTAGAAATTACACTAATCACAGGTATACCAGATGAACCCACTGTGCAGCACACGGCACAATAGCCACGTTTTTTCAATAGGCCAATCAGAGCATCTAGCTCAGGGAGTGGATGTTTGTGTCATATTGATCCATGAGACCCTGATAGGGCTTTTGTGAGCAAACATCAATATTCTGTGTTTGACAATACACTGTCCATTTCTTATCTCTACACTGAAGTATGGTATTTGACAGAATTAGAACACTAAGCATGGTGGGAGACTCAAAAGGCAGCAAATAAAAAACCCTCAACAACGATATATTTAAAGGAGCGCACATCTTCCTGGTAACAATAATAACAAATAAATAAATAACATGGATGGACACGGAGATTGTTAAAAACCCAGCGCTGATCTCTTACCTTTCTCAAGGTAGGTATTGGGTGCCCATATTGGATCGCCGTCTGCGTATGGGTCACTGTACTGCACAACCGCAGCTTCCTCTTCTTCATAGTCAACTGGGGGTGGAGGTGGGGGAGGAGGGGAATCATCAAACATTGGGATTTCATCAGGTGGTGGTGGAGGTGGGGGTGTTGGACTATCAGCAACTTAAATAAAAAAAATAAAAAAGTGGATTGAAATTGTGTGAACACACCAAAAAATAAAATAAAGAGGTGGAGGGGGAACATGCCCTTTCACACCTGATGTTTTGGACTTTATATCAGCTACCACTTACTGTATGTGATTCTTGGATTGTTTTTTTGTTTTTTAAATGTGGAGGCTCAAGATCACCCAAGCAACTGTGGGCAGATTGATTTTGGCCATTAGGGGATGCGTAGGCTAGAACTCAGGGGTGAATGAGTAAAAATAGTGATTACACCATTGATGTACATGCATTAGATAAACATGCATCAGCCTCAGCAGCAAAGCATTCTTTTGCACCTGAAAGCTTCTAACCGTCTCGTCTGTACTATAATAAAAAAAAGCATTTTCATCTCTATCTGATTAATTACCATGACCAATGCACAGATATTCAGCAAGCATTCTTCCCCAGTCAGTGTGAGTGCACTTACATGTGTGTGCTAATCCTTGAATGATTTATTCATAGTATGTACAAGAAAGGCACACATGCATTATTTAATATCGTGTGATTCTCACATCACTAGCCATGAGTGCTTTACCAAAAGGTCAGAGCAATTTCCAATGACTTACAGGCCGCTCAAGAATCTATCAGTACGAGTATTTCCAGACTCTCCTCTTAACTTGGAATTACTACAAATGCTGGAATGTAAATCCTGACATTGGGCTGTTGATACAATTTAGTGAGAGCTTCACAGTGTTTGACTCAAAAAAGGCAGATTTCCTAACTGTAAATAAGCAACAAATAAATGTGTTTTTTTCCCCATTAATATATTATTCAATGCAATAGAGTCACATTACAGGTATACACCATACACCCCAGTGTGGAATTACTATGCCCAGTGTATCTTTTTTTATTTTTACATTTTAAATCACTTTTTTCACCCAAACTGGTTTTGCTCTGTAAGCCCCCTATTTCTGCCCTTCACCAACAAACTGTAGGAATCATTTTACTCCAAATAACTTCTGCTTCATACTACGTGTTGTTACTACTTAGTTCAGGAGTAATCAGTTGGTGGCTTTCTATAGTAAAAACTTAAACAATTCAACTAAAAATCCCATGATGCACTGCATATGGGACAAGCTCTGAGTCACTTCCTAGTTCAAAGAGCTCAATGGAGAAGCTGCACAGCTTGGGGATTTTCCTCTTTTTTAATTTATTCTTTTTTTTTGGTTTTCATTTTCCCTTTTTAAAAAGAGATTCACAGCATCACAATGGACTTCCTTGTCTCTCTGTCCCAGGGAGAAACAAAATATTCTAAAAGACTGCATGTGTAGTATTGTATCACACCCTAGTCACATTTTAGAAAATCTTGCTATTTTGAGACAGCAGGTGGCGCTATGATGCCCATCTCAGATCATTTATAGGAAATCCAACTCAGAGTCTAAAACAAGCCCTATTTCCATTTTCTTCCACAATATGTATATTTAAGTTCACTGATTTTTATGCAAGCTATATTTAATACATATATTGTGATGTGCGTGTAAGATGTTTTATACAAAATGCTGAATTTCAAACTCATGGGATTATTTTGTTGACGACCTTTGTATGACCCATTACATGGATCCTCAAATCATATCTGTTCTTTTGGTTAACAGTATAACACTCTCCCTTTGCTTTGCTTATAGTTTGTCTACATATAAACATTTAAGTGACTACACATGTGCCAGATCTAAATCAGTAGGAGCCTGGTATAGATAATGAAAGGGTTACAGACTGCCCAATGTATGCATACTGACCATGACTAATCTATTTATGCACAAAGCTAATGTTGTGGGTTGACAAACAACATATTTGTCAAGTCATTGCAGACATCCTGGATATAATGCAGGGAATTAAGTTTGTGATTTGTTATCGATCCAAATCCGTAGATCAGCACAATAAACCTGCTGCCTATATTTAGCAACATTAAAATAACCAGGATCTCAAAATTTATTTTGGATCCTTAAAGCAAACTTTTCTTATATGCCAGTTATTTTAGAATGTTAGAGAACTTATTTTTTTGTTTTTAATATTTAATCTTGTTTACTGTAATGTCACTACCACCATTAGGTACAATGTAAAACTACATTTATAGTGCTTTACGCAGTGATCAGGTTCCAGCCATTGAACTACAACGCCAATGATACGTTGGCGGACTTAAGGCTTACAAAGCATCATGGGACCTGTCGGAACGCAAACATTTGGGAGGAGATCTATCTTTTGGCCTGCCCTTCTTTAGCGATATCCCTGCTATAAACATTGTTTCACATGTTATTTAATCAAGGATTAATCACAAGAACTACAAAGTCTGGTGTTCTTATACCCCTCGACTGAACAAAACAATCTGTGCCAGAATATCGTGTAACTGCATGTAATCTGAGAAATGACTGCACTGAATGAAGAGATACAACTTGTTCTATTTTGGGTCCATTTGTAGACTTCATATTAAGTTGAGTGTACGAGTCTAGTTCCAAACACAATTCTGAAGATGGGATCCCTTTAACTTCATGTGCAAATCTAAAACGCAGTCAATCACAGCATAATAAATAATGTTATTTATCCAGATTCCAGTCATTTGTCTTTTTTTTCCCCCCACAAAACATGTTAATGTACAATACACCCATTGCAGAATCTGCGGGTAAAGTTATAGAATCGTAAACTCCATGCATGTATGTATGTATTACCCATTTACTGGGCTCACGGAGGGCACAGACCCTAGTGCAAAGTTAATAGCCAAGTGGCAGATGCAGTGTGTGCTAGCCATGCATGCCAAGTGCTCCACCAGCAGCATACGTGGAAGAAACTTACTGTTTTCCTGCACTCTGGCCACGAAGCCTGTGAGAGGTATCTGTGGAGTCAATTGAGGCATTGGGGGAGGGGGAGAAGCGAGAGAAACTGGAAGCAACAACGCCACAATGGAAGAGGTAAAACAGAAAAGAGACAAACAAGCAGCAGTCAGTTACAAAGACCTGAAGCAGAAACAGTAACAATTATGAAACAAACCACATTGAACTGACAAGGAAACCCTCGAACATGGACTGTGCAAACCTCAATTACTGTGTGGCCAATTAAAGACAGAGGGAAATTACTTCCAGAGTTTTATTCAATGCACTTTGAGCTGTGGTGAGTTGACATCCAAGACAGAATAAGAATTATTTCACCAGGGAGGATCAATTTAGATTTCTCTGGATTCAGGTTTGTCCTGCTCAACGGCATTCAAGGTGATCACATTAAGAAGCTATCTCATGACCCCCCGATGTTTGTTCAGCTACTTAAAATACAACAGCTGGTGCACTAACCAACCAAGACACTTCACAGTCTGCAATTTAGGCCTCAATAGCAGAAATGAAAAAAATATAAAATAAAGATTTTTTTCGAATTAACTTTTGGCCTAGTCAGTGTATGTAACTTGAATGTAAACGTACCACAACTCATTTAGTGACTTACCCACCGCCCCATTAAAGAGATGCAAGGCCTTTTAATAGCAAATACAAGTCAGACTTTGCTGCAGGAGTTACTGGCAGTCTGCACTAAAATAAATCTAGCCAATGTTCAAGCTTGTCCTTGATTTTATTGGCATGTTTAACGGATAAATAAAAACATATTTGGGTTTTCTTTTTAATGGAGTTTTAGGTTTCCTGATGAGAATTCAACCTGCTATATTAACCTACATCTGATTGACAAAAATGTTATCCATGGAACATATTGTATGAGCAAAGCTGCTGTCCTATAACCATTAAAAGGCTTGGAGCAGATTTCATTTAGGTTTGATTCGCCATGATCTCAAGTTTGGGATCACTCAGGAAAAGTAATTTGTAGTAACAGTGTAGTCATCACTTTTCCCATTCAAATTACACATAAAAACTTATTTTCAAAGGATATTTAATAACAAAATTATCCTCTTCAATTAAGATGGAAATTAATAAAGAAACACTTTGACAAACACAAAAACAAGGACAAACACGGCAAACCAATAATGTATCAAGCAGGATAGGAATAGTCTGAAAACACGCCAATAAGACTGCTTTTCAGTTTTGTAACGGTATCAGAAATATCCATCATAATATTTTTAACGAACCTTATTCTCCCAAACACTCAAACTTTCACTCTAACCAAAACGTAACGGGTTACAAACATTTAAAAACTCTAAATATATTACTAGGTTTTGGTTTAGAAGTGAAATGCTAAACAATTTTTTTTTTATTTATTTTTTTTTTTTTTTAAACTGTGGATTCTCCTGTAAAGGGATGAACTCTAGAATTTGCGGTGAAATTAAATAGAATGTTGTTGCAGGAGACAAACTGAAAATCTTACTTGAGTTTTGAGAATAAAGTGGACCACCGTTGACATGGGGTTGAGCAGAGTATTGCGAGGTCACAGACGGGGTTCGTCTGTAGCCGCCAGAAGAGGCAGAAGACGTGTTTGAGTTGTGTCGTGAGATCTGCCTGGTCATAGAGCCAAACTGGGATCCAGGAATGGTACCACCACTCACTGTAAGTAATTAGATGGAGGAAAAAAAAAAAAAAAAGTCAGATTTTGCTTATTCGATGAACACTAGAACCAAGAATTTGAACCAGCGAGCATTGAAGTTCTTCCTGGAAACGCCAGCTATAGGCAAGTTTGAAAAGAAATTGCCAGGCAACAGCTTCAATATCTCTGACAAAATAGAATGTTAATATGGCCTTAATGATATCTTCTAAAAAAAAAAAAAAAGCAATAGTTAAAAAATAAAAATAAAAAAATAAATAAAACCAGGGGTATTTTAAAGGTTTTACATATCAGAACACAAAGTGCTGAGGATTGCACTAGATTAAACACAAGTGGAGAAGTCTTATGCTGAAATTTAAATCTGAATATAAAAAAACAATTTAAGCTGCACCTATACAAGTACCAGGCTAAGGCAACCTCAAACACTCCACCATAAGAGCTGGATACTAGATGTGGCCTACTTGTGAAATAACGCATAGCTAATGTAACCTTTATTGGGACTCCAGAGGTTTGTGATCTACATTGTTTATGATGTTTGGGCATCCCCTTAGAAACTATAAAAACACATGATATGTTCAACATAGCTATCACACAGGAGACCATTAATAAAAAAAATTCTGTAAAATAAATGTTTTATTAAACAAAAATGTCCACAATAACCCATCACCAGAAAATTAGGCAGTTTGGATTAGCATTATTTTTTAGATTTTTATATTCATGCTCATTTACGTCAAAATTTCATAGTTTCAACTCTTGCAAACATTTCTTTTACATTTTTAAAAATCACAAATATCAGTTTTCAAGTGTGCTCATTAAAAGTTGCAATTAACCACTACAGAACACATTTTTGTTGTTTGTTTTAATTATTGGATTGATATAGTATTGGATTGATGTAGTATTTTCCTTCTTTTAGCAAAGTGTATATGTTTTCGCACATGAACAAATATATAATAATTTGAAAGTTACAATGCTATATCTACAAATGCAAGAGAAAAGTCTGCAAGAAAAAAAATCTCTAATGAGAAGAGAACACACAAAAAAATACTAATCTCAGCATACTTATGTTTACTGCCTTTCCCACGCTCAAATTCAGTGGGTGTTAAAAACTTGTTCGTGCTACAAGATGACAGTCTCAGCCCTAACTTGACTGTTGATAATGCTCACTTTACTACCCATGTAGTACTTCCGGGGGGACCCTGGCGATGCTCCGCTACCTGTTAAACTTCATAGGTTAATCTTTCTTTGCATAGACCTCAAACCAAGCAACCGGACAGGATTTTAGTTTAAATTCTTGATATTAGGTATACTGTGGGGTAATTTTAAACTCATCGTTAGAAAAAAAGAAAATAAAATATATGAAAAATATTAAGAAGATTCCGTAAGATGAATGTTGCAGGTGAGTTGTATTAAAATTATCAAATGATTTTGGTTAGAGCCAAACTAAGCTTAGGGTTAAAGCCAATTCAGGTCAAGTTCTAGTCTCATCATTTTGTGAGTATTCTTTTTCCGGTTTCAATTTTTGCAAACCCCCACGGCACTTTGTACTGATCAATCCCTATTATGGCTATGTCCAACTCCCAATAAATGTTGGTGATATAACAAAACGGGATGCAGCACCACCTGGTAGTGCTTATTTGTCAAACCATGGCTCTTCTAAATTATGGAATTACAGTCTATTTAACCTCTTAAGGACCAAACTTCTGGAAAAAAAATGGAATCATGACATGTCACACGTCATGTGTCCTTAAGGGGTTAAATTACCATTGAATTTTTTTGTGTGTGTTCACTTTAAATGTTTTCACACTATACAAATTAATAGTTATTAGAAAGTTGTATTAGACAAGGTTAAAACATTGATTTATGACACCAGGAAATGTATCTACAGTCATTGAAAGACCCTTTAAACACCATGAATTAATGCAGGAAGACATCCATATTCTACAATACTGAAGTCTCACCTGGAGGAAGGGGTGGAGGTGGGGGCGGAGCTGGTGGCGCAGGTGGTGGGCCACCAATAGTACCTGGGGAATTTTTAGTAGTAAAATAACGTATAATGTCAGGTATGACAGTGCGACGCTTTCAAGACTAAACAGTCAACATAAATGTCACATCACCCATTAATGTATTTTTTTTTTAGTCATTATTGACTTGTGCTTAATTCAGATACTAGTTGTGTTAAGACAAGTTGTTTTCCTAACAGATACAATAAAATCATAAATCAGGATAAGTTTGAAGGAATCACAGCAGCAGCACTGTTTAACGAAGGAAAATGCTAAAGTGTAGTAATAAGCACTTTATAATGTGGATGTATAATTGACTGTCATATTTGGAATGAATCTTACAATTCTATTCTTCACTTTATATTCACACAGCAGGAGTCTATTTCATAACTGCTGCTATAACTGAGATTCCTGCAAAAATAAATATATCATTTGCACAGCTAGCTTAACCACTTGTGGTCTTGCAAAAGAAATTCATAAATAGAATTAAAAAAAAAAAAAAAACACAAAAAAAAAAAAACCATTCACAGTGCCTGGTGACTGACAGACACAAACACACACACTTTTAAAAAAGCAGAACCGAGAAAAATCGCTTGGTATTTACACTAGTTACGTTAAGCTGCTATACTTGCCAGAACGGACAATAAATCTCAGCCATTAAGAACACATTTACTTTGCCCATCTCAAATTTAAGCTCCCTCTAAAATCTCTAGCATCCCTTATTAAAACATTGCCTCATGCAACAAAATGCTTCCTCTGTGACCGAATTATAATCTTTGTCAGAGGTAGGCAACCTTCGGCAACCCAGATATTGTGGACTACATCTCCCTTGATGCTTTGTCAGTACTATGGATGTAAGAGCATTATGGGAGATGTAGTACACAGCATCTGGCGTGTTGAAGGTAGGCTAACCGTGATCAATAATATGGATTATGACAAGATTAACTAAAATGAAACAAGCCCTACCTTGCCCAATAGTTGGTGGAGATGGCGTTGGCACAGCTATGGGAATACCAATGCTGCTACTTCCACTATTTTCTCGACTACCACTTCCTCCACTGCTGCCACTGTTTCAAATTAAAGAAAAAAAGGAATCATGAGTGGATATGAAGACAATATAGCAAATAAAAGTAAAAATGAAAATGTAAGTATCACAGCTTGAGAAAATGCCACCGTACAGTTCATGAAAGATTACATTCTCTTATAACTTTTTTCAGAGATACAAAAATTAAAAGGACACCCCACCCCACAAACTAACACTATCTCAATCTATCGGTCTCACCCTAAGGTGTTAAACCATTTATTGAACATAATGGTTAGGATGCCACGCGTGCCCTTGCATCCTCCCCACTATTAACAACTCAGAGCTAATAGTTCCTAAGCAAAAAACTACATTAACCTTAAATGCCTAACTTGGGGCCCCCAACACTTGTCCAGTCTGCCTCCTGTCCTCTGCTGGCCACTTTACAATACCAATATTGTTGTTACTGTGACAGTTATACTGTTTGAAAACAGTTTAACACCTTAAGGGGGGGAGCAGTGAGTGATCCTTTAAGTAGAAAATCTTTTCATGGTATTCATTATGTAGTTAATCATTGGATAGTTCATATACACTGAACACAATTATAAACGCAACACTTTTGTTTTTGCCTCCATTTTTCATGAGCTTAACTCAAAGATCTAAGACTTACTATGTACACAAAAGGCCAAATCTGTCTAAATCTGTGTTAGTGAGCACTTCTCTTTTACCGAGATAATCCATCCACCTCACAGGTGTGGCATATATCTGGTGTGACCAGATGGATATTGGAAGGACCTGGAACACGAGGTCGTAAACGCCGATCCAGAGCATCCCAAACATGCTAAATGGGTGACATGTCTGGTAAGTATGCAGGCCATGCAAGAACTGGGGTGTTTTCAGCTTCCAGGAATTGTGTACAGATCCTTGCAACATGGGGCAGTGCATTATCATGCTGCAACATGAGGTAATGGTCGTGGATGAATGGCACAACAATGGGCCTCAGAATCTCATCACGGTATCTCCAAACACCTCTCCAAAGTGCCAGACGCCATCAAATGTGAGCATTTGCCCACTCAAGTCTGTTACGACGACGAGCATGCAGATGAGCTTCCCTGAGACGGTTTCTGACCGTTTGTGCAGAAATTCTTTTGTTATGCAAACCGATTGTTGCAGCAGCTGTCCAGGTGGCTGGTCTCAGACAATCTTGGAGGTGAAGACGCTGGATGTGGAGGTCCCGGGCTGGTGTGGTTACACGTGGTGTGCAGTTGAGAGGCCAGTTGGATGTACTGCCAAATTTTCTGAAACACCTTTGGAGACTGCTTATGGTAGAGAAATGAACATTCAATTCACAGGCAACAGTTCTGGTGGACATTCCTGCAGTCAGCATGCCAATTGCACGCTCCCTCAAAACTTGTGACATCTGTGGCATTGTGTTGTGTGATAAAACTGCACATTTTAGAGTGGCCTTTTATTGTGGCCAGCCTAAGGCACACCTGTGCAATGCTCATGCTGTCTAATCAGCATCCTGATATGCCACACCTGTGAGGTGGATGGATTATCTAAGAAGAATTGCTCACTAACACCGATTTAGACAGATTTGTGAACAATATTTGTGAGAAATAGGCTTTTTGTGTACATAGAAAAAGTCTTAGATCTTTGAGTGCAGCTCATGAAAAATCGGGGCAAAAACAAAAGTGTTGCGTTTATGATTTTGTTCAGTGTACGAAGAAGAGTTTGAGTTGGCAGATTTTACTTTTAGGAGATATTGGCAGAGAATTCAAAGTGAATTTCAAAATGCCAAAACATTAGAAATGACAACATGCATAAACTGGAATGTGTTTCAAATTTTAGGTGTCCTAAATTTGAAAAAATAAACTAACTTCAAAATTCGCAGTGAGCTCCTTACAATTCACAATTTATTGAAAAGGCTTTAAAATGTTAACTTTTTGGATAGTTTCTACTGATTGCTAGTGTTCAGATCCAAGTATATATTTAATGTGCAGAGAGCTTAAACAAACCTTGAAAAAGCAAACTTTACAATAATTTAAGTTTTACCTAAAATTAAACAAACATTTTCATAGTTAAATAGATTTTCTTTTTTTTATAAATGTGTAAATCTCATTATAAAGGAAGAATTGCAGGGACACCTCACCAAGAAGAACTTGTGTGGCACAAGCAAAATAAAACTATACATAATAAATCTCTACTCATGATTTATCAAACAAATAGGAAGCCAATACAGGAGTAATATAGCTGTTTACAATTGCTTATACACTCCATAGAAATGTATGAGGATTGTCACATTCCTTACCTGTGTGTTCTTGGTCTCTGATTCAGGGATGCTGTTCTTCCAGGACTGTGCTGGCTGCCAATTCTAGCAGGACTGGTCATGTAATCATTCGGCACCGTGGGAGGCTTGACTGGCTCCAGCGTTTTGTATGGTGTATTTCTCCTACCACAACAGAGCAACAGTGTTTTATGAAAATATATACCAGTGCTGTGCTTCAACAGTGCAACCAATACTGCTTAGGAAAATTGTGTTTACACAAATACAAATATTACACAGAATGTGATGTAATTGCACTGGTACAGAGATCTGCATTATACACAAGAGTATCTCTAGAGCTCACCCTTTCTATATTAGCCTACCAAAACCATTTTAAGTCCTTCCGATGTCCACTTTTAAGCAGGCAGCACTACGCTAATCTCACTCATTGTGAGATATTTGAATAAAGGCATCAGAAATCAGTTTCACAAAAAATTTTTTTTTTTTAAAAACGAGTGACATTAGTAAGTTCTGCTTCTGCATTAGAGTAAAAGAGCAACTAGTTATCTGCAGATGTAATACATACAGACACAACTAATTATTTTATTTAGTTAAATATGGACAAAAAAAATTAGGCCAGTTAGAGAATGTATTTCTTCCAATTTAACATCAATTGCCAACAGTTACAACACATTCTTACCCCAAAGTTCCGCGGCCAGCCATTGGTGGACTTGGCGGTTTTTGCGTGGGTGGATTTGTCCTGGTCAAGGTACCAGTTCTTGCCGCTTGATTTCCTCCATGCTGATGAACAAACAAAAATGTATTATTTATGGTTTTAAACATATTTCTCCATAAAGAGCATTTTCAAACTGTTTTCAGTAAGAAATAACTTTTTTTTTTTAAAAAACAACAAAAAATGTCAGGATTCCCAGACACAGCACAATTACATTTTAATACACTTTTGTCTAAAGTCTTGTTACTACTCCCTTCTTTAATTTAGAAGGGTCAAATACTGATCTGTTTCCGTTTAAAAGGTTTAACAAATACAAATCATTTCAAAAGGGAGGTTTAAAAACCTGGGGGATAATTTACTTGAGGTCAAAATGATTTATCTGAGTAATTTCTGCTATGATATTGAATGGTAAGTATGTCAAAATCCAGTAAAACAAATGTCAGACATTTTTGGGGAAGGGTCTAAACTTATTTTTTTTAGATTTATGCCGAGCCAATGATCTAGATAGTCACCTGTAGAAGGCAGTTCTATTTCTTGGTGAAACAGGGAGAAATACCTCCATAGCAATCAAAATAATTAGCCCCAAAAAGATTGCTTTCGACAGTTTGCCATTATAAGGGCCATGGCTGATAGCCAGTTTGTTCAAACCTAGCTAGATTATTTCACAGTTTCCCAAATCAACTATATTATTGAACAGTCGAAATCTATACTATGAAAGCAAACATCGAATTGATGGGTACGATATGACATTCAACAACTGAATGAGGCCATGAAAATTTTTTTAAAAAAATGGGAGAACTGTCTGTTTGGCCATTTGCAAAACCAATGGCGCATTGCGATTGACTTGATTTAGAATGACCCAACATAACACATTCTGTTACTGTTTGTTTCCACTATATGCATTGAATTTATAATTACAGAATCTTATTAGTATAATATAGAATGATTATAGACGTATCAAACATGCGTAATAGCATTAATGCTTCAAAGTGACATAGGTCTCAGACTGTCAGAGCATCATTGGCAAAGTATTTCAATCTAGAGTGCTAAGGATAACATCTATTCTTTGTAATTTAACTGGGGCAGAAGGGGCAAGGACTATCGACCCTTAGTAAATATACCCTCCCGGACATCATGTGAAGAAAATAATCAGATACTCTACTTTTCAGAACAAATTGATCAATTAAACACACTTCATGGTTCTACAGAACAGTCCTTTGAGATTCACCTCTTACTAAATCAGTGATCGCTAAACCGTGCAAAGCATTAAAGTAAATATAGTCCACAAACTTCAGCTTGCAAGGTTAAGCATCATGGAACTAAACTGTACAACATGTCTGGGAAACCTTTCGTACAACTGCAGGTCAGGGTTATCTATAAAGCAGGGTTATCTATAATATGAGAAAGCATTGTAAGTCACACAAATTAATGGCTCAGTTACTAGTGTTATGTCAACATATTTGTGATCTACATGGTCACATGAAGCCAAAACTGGATTACTGGACTAATGTAACTAGTGGTGTTCAGCGAGGGAAGGAGAGGAGACAAGAGGAAAGGGATGCAATATTTCACTGATTGATAGATCTGCAGCCTGGGTTATAGTAACAGTTGGGATCAAATGTGAAATGTAACTTCTCTTACCTTGGCTTTTAGCCACTTAATGATGGCAAAAGGGAAAAACAAAACAAAAAGTGAAAATTAATTGATCATCACAATGCATATAAGAGGTCAAATATAACACACAGAGGGTGACATCCTTTAAACATGGGGGAGATATAGATTATAGAGTAGAATATTGATGTGATAGAAATTTTTTTAAAAATCCATGGTGGATTTTTGAAGTAACATTCACCACAATCTGACTCACGTCTAATATATAAATTACCAGTAAAAATAAATAAATAAATAAAAACACACAACACACAACCAGTTATTAAAAATAAATAAAAAATTTGCAGATACATTTGTATCTATTTTTAGAGCTACGAGTGGGGCAGTAGGCTTTGTTTTATTTAACAGCTCTGCAGATATAATGGTTTTAATCAAAACTGGTACCCCAGTCTGGATATAACAGACTGCAATTAGCCGCAAATTGCCAGCTGTCTGATCATCCAATACAGCCAGATCATGCAGGCAAAGTCTTGCTAGTAGCCACAAAGCAAGTCTCCCTGGAAACATCCAATGGCACATACACTGCATTAGCTCAATGCAGCCATCTGTACAGTATTCACAGCTGTGTAAAAGGACTGAAGCAAATAACCTTTCTATCCCTCCCTGCCAGCTGTAACCTCCGTTATGTACGAGGTTACAGACCGCAGCTTCCTGGAATTAAAAAAAAAAGGAAGTGAATAAAATAGCGGCAATGAAGTCAGCTCATGCAAAGCTAGGAAGGCAGGGCGCATGTCTTTGGAAAGGAATGGAGTACAGCTTTGTGAAGAAGGTGATAGTCTTCCGTGCAGCGTATTCTAGATGGGGTCAATAAAGACCAGAAGCTTAAATAAATTGAACGTTTCAAGTTGACAATGTAAAACTGCTTAAGAAACAGATTCATAAATTAAAAAGTTTATAAATATTTAATATTTCTGGACTCTGGGTTTTCCCAAAATCGACGTTATTTTTCTTTAATAAATTGTAGAGTCAAGTTACAGAAATGTTACGGAATATCGAAGAATAACACTAACGATGCAAACAGGAATCTACATTAAGGAGGACCGTGGCATCTCACGGAGCACCAATACAATGTCTCGGTGCTTTTTTACATAGGCACACAGTTTTTGTTGGGAAGTAAAATTGCTAACTGAATTGATGATTACGCAGACTAGATGGGCCGAATGGTCAGGCTAGATGGGCCGAATGTCCAGGCTAGATGGGCCGAATGTCCAGGCTAGATGGGCCGAATGGCTCTTATCTGCAGTCACATTCTATGTTTCTATGACTAGATTAAACAGGTTATACTATATAGGAAAGTAATCTTTTGCATACCAGCTGTTTCCCCCAAATCTCCCATAACACACAGCTAGAATCAGATCAATGTATCTCCTGTGAGGGCTATATGGGTAAAGTTCCCCCGTGACAAATAGATCTTTGGTGGGAAGCAGACATATGTTTCATGTTGTAAAGCAGAAGCAATGGGCATCTCTTCCTGTAAAAAGGAGTTTTGAGAATGACGAAAACCAGATGTTACTGTAATGGTATGTGAAAATGAAGTGACAATATTCATCTCCCTTTCTTGAACCCCTTAAGACATTTATAAATAGAATAGTTCCTTATTAACTAGCTAAAAATAAGTGAAAAGGGAAAGAAAAGAAAAATTAAGCTGTATAACAGTTGACACATCATGTTCCAACAAGTCCAAAGTTTTGTTCATCCTTGGCTGTTAGATTATAACTGCCATAATTCTCAGCCCCCCACGGGAACTAAAGTAAACACAATATAGAAACTGGTTTTCCAAGGGTGGCCAAAATACAAAGGCAAAGGTTCATGGGAACTGTAGTTTTCCTTCCTCCTCCAACAATGTCCCAAGCCCAAAGTTGTTCATTTGCAGTTAACAATACAAAATAAATAATATAAAACGATAAGGAGCAGGGTTTGAATGTCTAGTCAAAATGTACAACTTTGCCATCTTTTGTGGTGAAGTAGAACATATGGCACAAAAGGTTTATACATGTCCAACTTGCATTATCAAAACGCACAAGGTATGAAAATGTACAAGTTCCTCTGTAGATAGTTATCTTTTTCTCACGAATGACACTTCGGTTACAGTACAGGGACTTTTACGGCTCAAACATATAAGTTCCATTTTTACTGGCTCGCAATTTGTGTAAAGTGGCACAGAGATTCCTTGTATGTTATAGTGCATTTCTCAACAGAGAATAGTCCTATAACCAATAAATCTGCAACGTATCATGTAGGTTTTACAGGTAGCATAAGTAGTAAAGAAAAACCTAAATAGTTTTATTGCTGGTTAACATAGATCTACATCTGATATAATCTGAAATAAGTAATGGGGAATTGTAGCTTGCAAAGTTTCCATTTTAGGTTACGTTATTTAATCACTGTATTTAAAGGAACACTTTAAGTACAAAAACTTGTAGAGCTCGCCGAGTGACAGCCCATTTCACTACCAACGCTAGCCTACCTCCCAAACCAAGAGCGAGCAAGAAAGAAAAAAAAAAAAAAAAGGTGAGGGGGGACCATGAAATATAATGTAGGGAGGTGCGCGGGGTAAGGCAGGCTGGCTTTTAAGTTTAGTGGACTGCATGAAGAGCTGTACAGTTTGCACACAGTTCTATATAGTTCTCATTGCAGGCACCCACACAGTGTTGCCTGCAAGTCCAAAAGCGCATTACAACCATCACCAATGCATGGCGGTTATTTTTTTCTGCCCAAGACTCCCATTAGTTCGACTGGAGCAAACTATCGAGCTGATGACTAGGCCACATGTGCCAGAGGTGTAACAACACTCGAGTACAAGAATTACTTATTCGTGAGAAAGAATCCCTTATTTCCCTACAGTATGTTTCAATTCCAAGTAAAACATTATTAAACTTTGCAAAATGTAGCCAACGGATTAACAAATTCTAGTAGAGGTTGTAGTTTTGAAATTGAGAAATGAAGAATTTATATATTTTTTAGGAACTATGGCTTTGTGGGTAGTTTTCACATAAGAGTTACTTGTTGCACTCGTGGAAAAACATGAATGAAATCACTAAGTAGCCAAAATCAGATGACCCACAAGGCTGCGGCTCTACTGGCTTTCCTAAGAAAGCTATGCAAGACCATATACAAGATATTGAGTGACATGTGCTTGCCATAGATGTCATATCGTTTGGAAACATAGATCAGCACTTTTATTTGCCACAAAACTAATTATCAAGTATCTTTTAAAACAAATATACCTATAATGAATTAAAATTATTATTTATATAGCGCCAACATATTTCGCATCTCTTTACAATTATAGAATGGGGACAATTGACAAGTAGCTGAAACAGAGACGAGAGGTGAATCAAGCCCTGCTCAGACAAGCTTACAATGTATGGCAAGAGGTATGGATACTTGAGATCTAGTGCTTCAAGGGTTAAAAACACTTCTGTAAAACTGTTCATTGCAGGAGTAAAAACACTTTAAAAAAAAAAAAAAAAAAAAGGCCAGTGTGTGTGCTTTGTTTATGTATGTGTAACAGACCGCTGTTTCGCAAATGTTAATTTCCCCCAATTATGTTTGTTGAGAAAAGGCAGGAAGGAGGATATGGTATTGAATAAGATCAAAAAGCTTAATTCTTCCAGATCCAGAGATTAGCTGAAATGTTCAGAGGTGGTTGCAGAGAAGCCAAAGGGCATTAAAGTATTTAAAATATAATATCATGAATAAAAAATAAATAAATAAATAAAAAATAAAAAAAACTACCTTTAACATTTCTCTGGCACTGTGTGATTGTGTACATGTGCTGGTGTGATGGCTTATTGGAAAAGAAATGACCCCCAATGTCTAACACATGCAAGGGATGGGTTAAACTAATCACATGGCATTAAAGGGAAAAGAATTGAAAGATATGGTGAGGGAGAATTTAATATTCTTGTGTCAGACTCCTTGTCAGATTTACCGGATATTCTATGTTTCCAGACACAAATATTGTCTGGGCAAAATATTCTGATCAATAAGGCATTATAATACAGGACGCCATAGCTTCTTCTTGATAAGACTTGCAAATATACATGTCTCTGTAACGGAGGCATAGTCTATAGATTCAAAGGGAACCCATCCTCATTTTAGGCCATAGGAAGGATTCAGCAGTAATTCCACTACAAATTTCGGGCACTGCATATTTAATCCTTGAAATTCCAAAATAAAACAAAACTTAAAACAGTAAAAATTATCATTTTTGGGGGGTGGGGGAGGGATTTGATAGGGGTTTGGTAAAATGGTCTACTGCAATAGCATTTAACAGGCATGTTATACAATTATCTCCCGTCCTTACAGTTCTCTGTGAAGGTGATTTATGCATGTCATCTTGCATATCAGCATTTTGAATTAGGACGACATTAGGCTAGTAGTTAGCCAGTGTCCTGTATAGATGAAAGAATAAGAGAAAAATGCATATAATCATGATGGCCATTTGTACGCTAATGACTTACAGGAAACATAATGGGGAAAAAAATAAATAAAGTATGGGGGAAATTCAATCTCATCTCTTTGCCTTCGTCTTATGTCTATTTGTGGATCCAAGACACAGCAAACAAACAATGTCTTGGAGGTCTAAGAAACTCCTACTGTGTTGCTAGGAGATGTTGCTGTATTAAACATTCTTTTTTTTAGTGTAGGTGGATTTGCTACACAAAGCCTTTTCATAACACTGACAGGGATAAAGTGCTGCTACTACTTAAATGGCAATGACTCATTGCTATTCCAAAACTGTGCACGACACAAAATAAAACTTGCAATCTGTACTTATCGAGTATACCATCCCATGCATTCAAGCATGCCATGCGCAGATCTCGCATCAAGCTACATTCATGCAAAACGCAATGTGGTTTTTTTTGTCCGTGGATGAATTCTAGCACATCCTTTGCTTGAAAACAAAAGTTGTATTTTCCGAGAGAATTAGTGCAGAGCTGGCATGGGACACTCCACAAGCAGGAAAAGCATGGGACAAAGCCACAGTTCCATGCCTTACAGAAAGTCACAGAACCGCAAAGCTGTTTGCAGAAAATGAAAACACAAATATATAAAAAGTGCAATTTGTTTCTAGAATCTCATCAATGAAGTGTCAAGGGAACATGCTTTTTAACAGTACCCCGATGCATCAAAATTTAGAAAATTGACATAATATTCTAACAATTATGCAAAGCAAATATTCACATATATACTCCCATAATACATGCGTACACACTACATATATATGTTATTACAGTGTATTTTATAAGTACAATCAGGGCACAGAGGCATAGAACCTTCAAGTAGAGATTATGCGAGGTAATAAGCCATGAACTTAAGGCTAAAATCACATTATCCTTGGGGAAGCCGGAAGGCACTCCATTATAAAGGAGACAGAGGCCTAACCATGCAGGCTAATGCACAATGTAATGCGATGGGATCATAAATAAAACAATTCAGAAGCACTCGCAGGCCATTCATCTCAGGCTATCTGGCACGATTACTAAAATAGAGTAGAAGGCTGTGAATTGGAATGGGTGTCACGAGCGAACAATTAAGAGCCTTTACCTTCCTACTTCAGGACTGTGAAGCGGTAAAATGTACATATTTCTGCTGAGTTAGAGGGAAAGTATGACAAAAATCAGTCCTAATTCCCACTATTCAATTGTCCCAGCAATGGAATGTGAAGATTAAAAGGTGTCAATTAATGAAAATTTAAATGAATGTTTAAATAAACCAGGTAGAGTACATTGAGCTTTAGTTTGTTTTAATGGATATCCTGAGTTGAGTTTTATTATTGCACCATCACAATTTCTTATTACCGCTTAAAACAGCAAAATTTTACCAAGTAACTAGGATAGTATTAATGCAACATTGGGATGTGAGTGCAAATCCACGGCTAGTCTCACAAACCATTTGTTCTACAGCAGCATTCTTTACACTAGTCCCTACGCCAGAATTACGTGATTTTCCTGTTCTAGGTGAATCGATCTGGGGCCTGCAATTTACACTGAAATGTTAATGCACTTGTAGTGATAGCCATAAATACTAGTCTATCCTGAGAACAAGTTTGACAAAATACTTCAGCCTCACTACATAGCTCCAGTCCAAACAAGTAAACTGTGCCAATTGATTTAGTGAGAGGAGAAATCCAATTGTTGTTCAACTGCCTATTCGTCAATAACATACACACTATCTTTTCATCACCATGTGATTGCACAATATATTACGATGAGGTCATGGTCATGCACATACAGGCATTATTTTAAACAAAATTAAAGGGGGGGTGGGGGGATTTCAATATATTCAAAACTTGTCTGCAGATTAAGCTTTGATTGATTAGGACAAATCTTGTGCTATGCACTGATCACAACAAATTTATTCCTCCAGCCTTTTCCACACTCCCCACACATCTTTTTGCACACACTGAAAGCGGCAAGGACAATATATATTTCACAATTCTCATTCATTCTTTGCCTATTTAGCAGCATCATCAAGGAATCAATTCTTACCTTAACTCCATGGCCTACATCATCCAGCACCGTGTAGTCAATAGGCTTCCGTATGTACCTGACAGGACGCTCCATATTAGCCGGCGCAATTATTTTGTGGCTCCTTGCTGTGTTTTTGTTTGTTGTCAGGATGCCAATTTCTCGGCGAGCCACCTTTTCTTTATGAATGTCCACAGTCTGTAATACGGTAAAGATGAATAAGATTAGTATCCACTAAATATAAAAGCTTATAAATAAATAATGCAGTACTATTTGGATGCCTTGATGTTGATAATGACAACAATTATGTTCAACTGCATTGGCTCTTAACCAAAATAGGACACCTATGGTATTTCAGCAGTTTAATAACGGTTTTAACAAGTAGATCATCCTAGTCTGGCTCAAGAAAACTGACCACAATAAATGGAGGTAACTACATTTACAGCTGGTTTTGTAAATCATTTGTCAGTTCACTGCAATTTGCTCTTTGGTGAATTATCCATGTGTTAGATGAATTGCATGATAGAACATTAAAAGAACATTATAGGCACCCAGAACAATTCATCTCAATGAAGTGGTCTTGGTACCCAGTTTTAAACCTGCAGCTGAAAATGTTGCCTCTTTCATTGCAGGCTTAACTTGCCGCTAGGCGCTTCCGATATCCTATTTTAATTAGATGGTCTCATCAACAAGGCTATATAATAGCAAGGCTATAATAGCCAATCTCTGACTATAGCGGAACTGGGGAATTGTTACAAAACAGCTTTTCTAGTTTAAAGGGATACTGTATGCACTGTAACTGTTCTCAATGAAGTGGTTACAGTGTCTCCATGCCCCTGGAGCCATCCGTTCAGTCAATGTTACAATATTCTTTATGTTTTAATGCTAAACGAGAGTGCCCCAGCAGTCCTTCCCTTCTGGGCTGGCTCAACTGGTGAGAAGCCATTAGCCTGAGCAGCAATAGGCAGCTGTGATTGGCTGAGTATGTCAGATGACTGCTTTCAGCCTATCACTGCTCCCATTGCTGGTATGAATCGGTACAGCTAGAAGAAAGTGTGTAATCTCTGCCTTAGCCACACCTCCAGTAAGGGCCGGGCTATGGGTGGCCAGGGACTTAGTGTTAAACTGTTAAAAAATGTTTTGAACACTAATAGGAGGGACAGTGCCAGATGACACTAGAACAAATTCAGTGAGATGAAATGGTTATAGTGCCTACAGAGTCCCTTTAAATGTTGTAGATCAGCTTTCAAATAAATGTTTCACTTTTTAAATAAGTAAAAGCAATATCAATTAAAAAAAAAATGAATAGCCGTTTGAAATTAAAAAAACACAGCTAATTTAAATTGGCAATATGGTTGTTAAAAAAAAATGTAAAAAAATTAAATAAGTAAAGGATGTGACAGTCTGATAAAGTGAGTCAAAACTCAGAAACCACCTAAAAACCTGCTATTAAAACCAAGGCAGGGTTCTTTTTGCTTTTCTACTTGGGGTGCCAATATAAACAATACTTTCTAGCATGCTAGCATAGAAAGAACAGTGACGTGCTTTTTGTAGGCTTCTCAAGACGGGCACAAAGGATACAAATGTCCACATATATATGGACATTGTTTGCTTACGCATGATCACTACTGCAAAAATTTCATTCTGGTGTCCATTGTCATGTTTTCAAAGGGACCAACAATTCATAAGTTAATTATTTTTATTTCTTTAATAGGGATACTTCAGACACAAATAGAACTTTATTTGAGAGTTTTAGCCTTATTCATTTGCTGTATTTTTGCACACAAAAATAAAATAAATGTTTTGCAGAACTGATTATTAAGAGACACACCCTAATGCCAGAAAAAGACTCCCTTATCAAATATGCTCAGCTCTGCTGCTGCCAGCATGGAGTGATCGAGTATTTTTCTGACTGTCTGCTGCCGGTTTAGGAAATACAAGCAGCTCACTCTGCGGTGTTAGAGGCTGACCTGTGTGAATACACCAATAAGGAAGTCCTGGCACGAGGGTGTGTGGCAAAGCAGACAGGCTTATGGTGCCGCATTCTGAAAAATCCCTTCCATTACACTGGCTCAGAGGTAGAATTCAGAATGTTGCATTAAGGGTAAACTGCAGATCACAAAATATTTCAAAGTCAGCTGACAATGAGAGCAAGGCTGAGTGACACTCGAAAGGCAAGTGTGGGCAGGCGATCTAACGCAGAACTGTCACTTCTCTGGAAGGAACGCTTTCTTTTTCCTTCACCCCAGCAAATATTTTTAACACTATGAGTTGAGCAGTGTAGTGGAGGAAAGTTAACACACACCGGTCTCCTCCGCAGCAGTCACGAGTCCAAGGCAATATCAGTGAACGCTTTTTCTTGTGCAGAGAAATGATGTGTGGTGCATGGTCTGGCACTGTGGGAGTTAAATCAATTTGTATGGTTTGCCTACACTGTGCTCAGAGTTCCAGGCATAACATGCAAATGAACAAATTTACACTTTTTTTATAAAAATGTGAGAGAGAAAAAAATATATTGCTACAAAGCCCATAAGTCACTTACTTAGCTTGAGTTGTGCAAAAATCTCACGACTGTTCCTCTTTAAAGTTGCCATTAAAAGGGACATTATAGTCACCAGTACAACTACAGCTTAATGCAGTTCTGCTGAGTATAATAGTTCCCTTCAGGCTTTTTTCATGTAAACACTGCCTTTTCAGAGAGGGCCACTAGAGGGACTTCCAGTGTTCGGTTCTGCAAAGATCTGAGCAGAAACTAACCGAATGGCAAGCCCACACAATGTTCTCTCGTACCTTCGGTTTGTTTTGGCTTCAATACATAACATTAAGTCAGCTACAACAAAGTTTATATTAAAGTATTGTGTTACTATCATGTTATGCACATATATGTTATCTTGTATATTAAAGACTTTTTAATCGTAAAATATCCTGAAAAATTACTTCTAAGTTACAAACATTAGATCTAAGCCGCCAGTACACCAAACCACGTGTAGATTGCATTACCCTTTCACGTGCACTATCATTCCTAAGTCTGCCTGTTCTACCTCACTGGGCCATGACAGTAAATTATATTTTCATCTGTAAGTGATGTTTGCTTATAGCAAAGTCACAACCGGAATGTCCACCTGTATATTTTTTGGCACATGCACAAGTCTTTAATTTTTTTTTTTTTTTTTAAATAGTTAATTTTTCTTGAAGGAAAAAAAGAAGAAAAAAAAGTTTAATAACTGAGGACTTTAGTTTACAGTCAAAACGGACAATGCACATTGAAATTTGTCTCATGGAGAGTTCACAAAAGCACAAAAGCATCTCTTCCATTACGATCTCTCTCCTACATAAGTTGAAGGAATGCTCCAAGCACCGTAATCATTACATTCAACAGTGAGCTGTAGTGGTTATGGTGCCAGATGTTACACTTTGTGAATTGTTTTTAGTTACAATGCTCTGTCTGGCACCCACACTATATGCAGCATGAGGGGATATTGCCAAAGTCAATAAGACCTTACATGCGTAACGAACAAGCAGTGATGGCCAATTTAGTCCCCTATGATAATCTACTAAGTTTCCCATAATGCTCAGCTAGCTTTCAGTCATTATGGGAAATTGAGTTCACCACCCTAAGGAGTGCCACGTCAGCCATTATTTCTATAAAGCACATATGGTGCACCTTAAACTGTGCCATTTACTAACGAATGCTATCTTTCACAAGTTGTTTTCAGAAGCGATTTGCAATGTTTAATATATATCAGAATGTTTCACAATATAGTTGCAACTAAATTAGAACAGTACATATTTATGCAACTGGAGAGAAAAAAAAAAAAGCACTCTGGACATCGCCCTGACATTACTAAATGGAACAGCTGTGTAAGAAGGGTGCGGAAATCATGGCTTCACTCCTGGACGGCGCTCCAAAGGTAATCCCAACGTGATAGTTCTGATCCGTGCTGCTGAGATGCACTTTCGGTTAAACGTCTTTTGGGGTAGATTTAGCACAATAACTACAGGACAGTATTCGCATATATACACATTTTTTTTACAAAAGTGTAAAAAAAAACAAAAAAAAAAAAAAACCACACACAACCTCGGGGCGGAGCTAGCTGCAAAACAGAGATGTCACACTCTCTCGAGCTCTGTGCTTATTGCTCTTAAATATTGCGGTAATAAGGCTGAAATGGTGCCAGGACCCGACAGCAAACTGCCACTCTACTGCCTGAGGGTGCAATGGGTCAAAAAAATAAGAAAGAGCAGGCAGACAAAAGCGCCTTCAGCTGCGACAGTGAATTGCTCCGTCTCTCTCAAAAGCCTGCATGGGACAAAATGGCGCCGGGAGACGAGGGCTCCTCGTACTCCTCCAAAGGTCTTTCCTACAACGCTGGGGAGGGGGGCCTCATTTAACCTGCCAGCAGTGCCAAAAGCCAAGCCACCGGAGACCCGGTCACAACATCCCAACTTTAAGACATGCTCTCTGAACTGAGAGCGAACATAGCGGCTGACATGGCCTATTATTAAGACGCCATAGAAGGTGCCATGACCAAGATAACCCTCCTGGAAGCAACGGCAAACACACACAACTCTAGGCTTACCTCTGTGGAACGCAAACTGGCGGAACTCCAACAGAAACCGAAAGCCATGGCAAACAGAACTGAGGCTCTGGAAGATCAAAGACCGCGTTACAACTTAAAAATGCAGGGAATGCCGGACTCTCTGAGCTTGACTGACCTGCCACACTGTGTGCGCCACCTGCGAAATACACTACTACCATCGAAATAAGCCAAAGCAGTTAAGATAGAGGGCATGTTCCGACTGCCGAAACTGGCATCAGCACAATCAGAGGCGACAGCAGACCTTATTATCAGATTCCAATCGCTACAGGACAAGATATCGATTCGCTTTGCTGCACGTGGACACACTCCCCTCATGTTTGAAGAGTCTGCCCTATCGCTGTTCCCAGACCTCACCAGGGGCACTATTGCGTGGCGCAAGGCCCTGCAGCCACTACTGATGACCCTACGAGCTAAGGATATCTCCTACTGCTGGGGGTCCTGAAGGCCCTGTCCTTTACACACCAAGGCTCGACATACAAGGCTTCGAGTTTCCAAGAGCTGGAATACCATCTGCAATGTCTCAGCCTGCGCGGACCAGTGGGGACAGCAACAACAGGTCTGGCGTGTCTGAACCCCTCCACTATACCAGAATTCACCCCCCTGCTCCACACAACGCAAAGTGCATGCCAGGGAAGAAACCTGAACACCACCGCCCCAGTAGTCAGACTTCAAAACCCATGACGAGTCCACCAACTAACACAACCGCGTACCGCATTTATATTTAAGTTGACACAGGCTGTTTTTTAATTAGTTTAATTATGTTCTTCCACCGCATACATTTGGTTAATTATGTTTATGTTTCCTCTAAACCCACTCATAATGCCTATACTGTGCCCTTAGTTACTGGGGACCATATACATCTCTATGAGGAGATGCTGATTGTCCAGGACTGTGTTTGAATCATGCTGGATCTGCCCCTGATCTACTTCCTTGACAGACTCAGCCAATCCTATGGGAAAGCATTGTGAGTGGCTCAGAGATTCATTTCTGATGAGGTCATGCAAGGAGGCAGTTTAGGGGCAGAGGCAGCAGCTGCAGACTTGAACACAAGTAAGATTTTACTGTATTTAGGGAGGTGCTATATGATGTTTTTTAAACTATAAGGTCAGGAATAAATGTTTGTGCTCCTTTAAACAGAATTGTTCTTTATCTGCGATATGTTTACTTCCTGGACATTATGGGGCTCTGGTGAATAGCAATTATCATGCCATCTAAATTACTCAAGCTGTACTATCATCTACAAAAGAAACAGGATTCCATTAACATTCAGGAAGTAAATCTGATCCATCCTAGAGTGTAAATGAACAAATTAAGAAAACACTTAAAATGAAATCTAAAACTTTATATCCGATTTACAACTCCAGCTCCCTCCTTGATTCTTTAAAATGAAAAAAATTATTTAATACTTTCCCTGTATTAAAACTTAAAAATAATGCAGTAGTGACAGAGTTGCAGTAGAGGATTTAATCAATAAGAAGAGATAAGGAAGTATAAGCCAAGTAGGACCTGCCTGGGAGGCTCTATGCTTTCATACTTCAGTCATTTGAAGTGGTCATGGTCCCTAGATTTTGAATGAGCAGTGTTTTGCTTAATGTAACTCCACCTCTAGCAGGGACATTGGGGTGTCAGTCACCCCAGAACATGAGTTTGAGCTGGCTAATGTCATTTATGATCGTATTTCTGTATATATAGAGTTGCATTCATTGGCTTAGAGCAGTTA